ATAAAATATACGAAAATGTAGGAGGAAAAGAGCCAAACGAAAGAAATAAGTATCATCAAATTAACTATCAATCCACGCAAACATGAAAGCAAAATACTACCCAAGTTATTTTTAAAACCACTTTGATACTCAAGAATTACTTCATTCTTAGTTTATGATTTTAAGTTTTCGATATGTAAGCTTAATCAAAACTTAAGTTTCTTGATTATTAGTTTGAAGGTAGAAGTATATTAAAACATAGATATTGATAATAGTTCGCAGCATAATTAAGAATAGGCGGAAAAAAAGAAATCCATTTCGTCAAATTATCGTGAAAAAACGAATATATCATGCGAATCCCAATTTCTACAAAATTTACGCATTTTAGACTGGTCTCAACAGTTAGTTACGTCTTATTGATTGAAGTTATAACTAGAATTGATTAAATTAGTGTACTTGAGTCATGGTAAAGTTTTAAATGAGATTTTAATTCAGCACTGAGTGTCTCAAAACGTAGCACTTTATCTCATAGATAACAATTCTCAGTAATTTACCGAAGGATATAGATCATTATGAGTGCAATAACTGCGTTGGGGGACGTTGTGCCGATGCAGCAGAATTACTTTATTATTTTCTAACAGTTGGTGCTTTATGCTCCGGGACATAAATACTAATGCTAATCAATAATCAGCTAACATAAAACAGAGATGAGTTGGTAGATTTATACAACTCAAAAAATATTTCGTTTTGTTATTTTAGTGAGTTCTAGCGAATGAGCAAGATAGTCATACCTTATACCAACTTCATACTAAATTTTTTGTTCGTCGGTATAACTAGATGAACATGAGAATGTTATCATACATTATTGAAATTTACATGATTTGAATATGCAAAATCACAAGCGTGTTCGAGTCTGCCATTAGATGTAACGATCGCTAATTTATCTTTATGTAGGATGGCTGACAAAATCTAGACAAAAGGATGATATATACATATATATATTCTCATCTTCATCTAGTTATACCGATGAACAAAAAATTTAGAATATATATAAGCAAACAATATTATTTCCAATTAGGTCCTCATCAGGTTTAACTATGATATACATTAATATTAATATGCATATGCAAAATTACTGAACCAATTAAGATAGTTTATAAGTCAATGATCACAGTAGAATAGATTAAGTAAGAAGTACGAATTGATAGTGTGATGTAAGATGTGTTAGTTTTGATAAGAATAACAAAAGCTTGAATCAGTGTTTCATAACAGAAAATAGGTCAATAATCTGAAAAATACAGACACTGAAATAACATTCATAAAAATTATAAGATTACGTAACAAGGTATGTTCAGATAGTTGGACAATCAAGCGTATATTTGAAAAAAGTTGGTCGAAGAAAATGGACAAACAAATTGTATGGAAAATAATGATAAGTAAAATCTTTTTTAAAGGCTTATTCAGCCAAAGAAGAAGTTAAGGGAGTTATAAATTTCTTATGAATACAAAGACCTGAATTGTTAGTCCAAATTCCTATGACTTCTGTCATGCGTAAAAGACAAGATGGAACCCCCTACTGACTAATAAACTACCTTAATTGGTTTAATAATTTTGTATATGCATATAAATCTTGATGCATATCACAGTTAAACCTGTTGAGGATCTAACTGAAAACAATATTGTTTGCTTATACATGTTCTAAATCGATGTTGGTATATACTTTTCGTATGATGAAAGGAGATATGTCACACACCACAATGAACATTATGATAATTAGGTTAACTTTCATTGTTATTCATTTATTTGGATGGATTTTGAAAACAAATAGTTCCGGTCCAACATATATTTATTTCGCTAGTATATTAATACTATGATAATGATTGAATTCATTCAACTGAAATGCCATGGTGACAGCTGTTATTTAAAAATGAATGACTTTAGCCATTACTTAAATGTTGTTATAGAAAGTTGGGGTCAAACAAAGAAAACAGTTTATTAACAAATGTAAAATAAAAAGATTTACGGAATCAGAGAATTTTGAAAACGTGAATATCATGAAAAAGAATTTGTCGTAAACAGGCAGCTAACTGAAAGCCAAAATATTTAGGGTCAGTTGGACAAATATCAAGTTTTTAATTCAGTTTGAACCTGTTTTTGAATTGTTGAAATTTTGACTGAAATTAAATTAGTTTTGGTTGACATATGCACTTCCTGTGAGAATTTCCTCTATAAAGCCAACATTACTTAATTACTTACGCCTGTTACTCCTCGTGAAGGAGCATGGGCCGCTCACTAGCATTCTTCATCCAACCCTGTCCTAGGCAATCCTTTACAGCTCTTTCCAGTTGTAATTCATCCTTTTCATATCTGATTCTATTTCCCAAAGTAATGTGTTCTTTGGCCTTCCTCTTTTCCGCTTTCCTTCAGGATTCCAAGTTAGGGCTTGCCTCGTGATGCAGTTTGATGATTTGAGTGATGTATATCCTATCCATTTTCATCGTCTTTTCCTAATTTCTTCAGCTGGAAGCTGGTTTGTTCTCTCCCACAGAAGGCTGTTGCTGATGGTATCCGGCCAATGGATGTTGAGTACCTTGCGTAGACAGCTATTCATAAATACTTGTACCTTCTTGATGGTGGTTGTTTTAGTTCTCCAAGTTTCGGCTCCGTACTGTAGAACTGCCTTAACGTTCGAGTCCCAGAGTGAACACCAACTCGAATGCAGGTACGTCCATCCGACAAGACTTAGATTCCACTGTAAGTGAAATTCCATCTATTTTGTTTTATTAAATTATAAGATTTATGAAGGAATCACGAATAAATTGTCAAAGTGAGGTTGTTGTCGTACTGTAATGTCTAAAGTGAAATATACTTTGAGTGACATTTTTGATCACACTACATTTTATTGGATATTTGGTAAATTTTTGAAAATACCTTAAATGGAATTTGTTGACAAATCATGTAAATAAACATCAATATTTATGTAGCTAATTTATTGTTTATATATTTTTTTAAAATGAGCATCTATCAGGTAGTATTATGGATTTAATAATAATTTCTCGCTTTCTGTTGATTCAGACACTATAGCGATTGTCATTTACGATAAACTGTAGATTTGTTATCAAGTTTTTTGTTAAAAGTAAATCATCGGTGGATAATCGTTCGTTGTATTCTTTTACTTAATTAGTATAATCACATATAAGTTAAGGAATGAAATCACAATATACTTCTGACTAAATCTTGTTCGATCTGCTGCTATGCCGTATTTAAGTTTTGCAATCTGTAAATTAGTATAGACCAACTGAATAAAATGAAGAATCCGACTTTTAGAATAATCAGAGTAAGAATTAAACTCGTAATGACAGCTAAATTAAATTTTTCGTTAATTAAACATTCCAATCACAGATTATGGTCAGTAACTGTAGTTTTATCCTTATCGTCAAAATATACGGTAGATCACTACAATGGATTTTGTCTTATCTATTTTATGATCACAATCAACCAAATATGATAAAACAGAGCTAAGCATAGGATTTATTTAGATGTATCCAAACTATTCAAAAAGATGTTCATTCACATATTGGTTACATTAATTGAAAAAATTTCTGATTTATTTTTCGTCACAGAAATAACTGAATTGATCGATGCACACTGAAGTGGCAAAAACAGGTAGCCGATACTTTGTTTTAATAAATAATATTAGTTAACAGGAAAATGGTAAGCAACAGTAGACTTCATGTCATGTTTTAGTCGTTCTGGCTAGTCATTATTATCCTTATTACTACTAGTTGACCTGATATATTTTCTACTCAATGATCGATCGTTTGCAAATCATAATTAACTATATGATCTACTTCATTATTATCAATAACTCATAAATTGGACTGACTGATTTATATTTCCGATATATTTCGATATTACTGTATATTCAAGTAAAGCTTGATAAAGATCTTATTGAAAACAACTTTGTTTTTTATATGTTTTTTTCTAGTCTTCAAAATAATAATTTTTAATCTTTTTATTAAGTCAAATGTGTTGTATTTAGAGATATACAAAATCTCATTGTTGAAAAATTCCCAATATCTACGATAAATATCTATTTAGGTAGTCTTCAACAATTAAATGAATGTAAAGTCATTTATTTAAATTCAGTAAAATAGTGTTCATATCTTGTCAGACATAATAAGGTAAACTAATTTTTTATCTTAAATACCTATTTTTACCAATGGTAGATTGAAACACGATTAATTACATTTACGCAATTAAATTATCAGTATGGGGTTGTGGAGATTGTTAATTTTTTGGTTGAGATCATGAATTAATTGATGTTAGACCACCGTTGGAAACCTGGAAGCACTGGACGGCCGTTTCGTCCTAGTATGGGACTCCTCAGCAGTGCGTATCCACGATCCCGCACCCCGCGGGATTCGAACCCAGGACCTACTGGCTTCGCGCCTGAGCACTTAACCATTAGACCACCGAGCCGGCATCCAGTGGTGTTAGTGTCTAACATCAACCAATCCACGAAATTGCGCGACCACCTTCCATTGTACTGAGGTAGATACCTGTCTCTACCCAACACGGATTAGCTCCACTGGTCACAACTTCTCACTAGAACTCCGAGAATTCCCCCACGAAGCTAGTCACTAGTGAGCACATGTTAATTATCAGTATGGGGTTGTGGAGATTGTTAAGTTTTTGGTTGAGATCATGGGTTCGAATCCCGCGGGGTGCGGGATCGTGGATGCGCACTGTTGAGGAGTCCCATACTAGGACGAAACGGCCGTCCAGTGCTTCCAGGTTTCCAACGGTGGTCTAACATCAATTAATTCATGATCTCAACCAATTAAATTATATCAGGTTTTTTAAAAAAAAAATTAATCTGTGAAATAAGTTACATATGAAAAGAGCTTTAAAAGTAGTAACAATCAGATAATTCAACAAATATCACTTACTGATGTGTATTAGGACCTTAATCACTAATCATTCTATATAAATCTGAAAACAAATCGACTGATCAGATTGATATGAAAGATAAGTTTATTTTCAGTCTGACAAAGTTATCAGTCAAAGATTCAGTAAATACATTTGGGTTTTCAACGATACACATTAGAAAATATAACCTCGTGTCCAATTGTAAAGTGTTTCTTCAAAAAAGAAAAATCACAATGAAGAAAAACCGTTGACCAAGACGCATTACGTCGAAAAAAAATCAATCAAAATGAGGAGTTGCAAAATGTGATTGTCATTTTTTACTGTCAGATGGATAAACAACAAAAAGAATATATAATGATGAGAAATTAGTAAAGGTTGTGTTTTCAGTTAAATAATTTTATATCAAATATTGTATCAAGTGGAGAAGTTTGTTTTACATTCAAATGAGTGTCACCAACTGGTAAATTATAAAATGGATTATTGGTAACATTTTTATTATTCGTATACACATTATTTGGCTTAGTTTGGATATGCTGTGTTGTTGTCCAGCTACAAAAATGATCATCCATTGGGGATATTTTAGTCTAAAATTGAAAATATAATGCATATTATTATACTAAAATAAAAATCATAGTATAATTAACAAAGAATACTAAAACTAAAATCTATTACATATTTTATCATGAATTAAAACAAAGTACACGCAAACTGATGAATTACACCAAACAAGTAGTTATTTTCACTTAGAGGAAAAAATAGTAACAACTAACGCCTTGCAATAAAAATTAGCTCAGTTAGTGATACCACTGGATATTAGGTAAACACTTGAGAACTTGTCCTCGATCAACAATTCGTTTATGCTCATTTAACATTCACTGACAACCCAAAATAAGTAGTTTTTTATCTAAGGTGTTTTATAAACAACATTTAAATCAAATTGACGGGATATTCATTTATTAATCTTTAATTGAACACTTGTGTATTGTTTGGGAGATTCGGCATGTTAGCATCATAAAAACTGATTAATATTCCTCATAAACTGTCACTGTACCATCACTAAAACACACAGATGGAAAACTCACATTTTAATTCAAGTAATCGAATCCTATATTGATTATAGGGAATCATTTTACTATGCTATACCATAGAAAGCTTCAAAAATTTAGAATACAAGAGAGGAATGAACTGCTATTTGAAATATAATGCCAAGGTTATAATATGATTTCAGAAAAGATCCTTAACATAACTATATCAGGAAATAAGAGGCAATCATTGTAATGATAATTTTTGGAGCTATAATATGACAGACATATATAATATTTTTTATTTATAAACCTCTCCATTACAGTGATCCCCTTCTCCTTGCCTACGTGTTCAGCGTTCTCCTTCAATAAAGACTTTGCTTAGGTGGAATTAAAGTTGAGTATTAAATTCATTATAGAATTAAATATTTATGTTTTGGAGAGTAGTATAATCTTATTCTGAGATCCTAATTTTGTCATTTATTTCCATATAAACATAATTCCTCTCAATAAAATTGACCTAAGATATAAGTAAAAGTATACTTTTCAAATGTATTTATTTTCATTTGTATCTATGATGACATATCCATAAACATTTTTTGACTGATTTTTTTCTTAAACGATTTACTGATCATTTGAAACTGTATTATTCTAGTTTTTACTAGCTACATCCAAAAAAAAATAATCAAATAATCATATTTATTAGAACTATTCGTATTTCCATTTAATTTATCAAGATATACTTTCAGATAAAAGTAAATAAGTTCTTATATTTATGCAAATTTACTTCCAATCGATGTAGTAAATGATACTAAAAATTTTATTCAATAATGGTTAATTTGTTGAATTTATACATGGATATACATATATATATCACGTATTTATATCAAATGTTTACGACAAGAAAGCAGTAATATCGAATGAATAATTTACATATTATTCGGTAAAATATTTCAGTTTTTTTATTTATTTATAAGTACAATACAAAGTAATATCTAATAAGATGATAGAAGTCTATTCGATGAGAAATTCAAACAGCACATAATGAACAAATTATATATATATATATATATATATATATATATATATATATATATATATATATATATAATCAACTTTAAATTATGTCGAAACCATTGGTAGAAATTTGATCATTTTGTCTATAAAATCATTCTAATATTTCCAAATAACTGACATAATTTTCGATTATATCAGTGAATTATTTGAAGTTTGTAAATTTATAAATTATGATATTTTTATTGTATAAAATAAACATGTATAATATACTTTAAACCTTTTGTGAATAGTAAAACTCTCCAGAAATAGATCTAACTTTCTAGGATTAAACACATTTGAAGATAGTTTTCTTAATAGAAAGTCATATAAATTATTAAATGCTACCAGTAGATTGTTGTGTTACTTCAACAAACGTGTTCATAAAATTCTCATATTCATAATCATCAGTAGATAGTAAATGGTAACGTATTGGTATTCATAAAACATTAGTTGTATATTGAATGACTGCATTTTTTTGGCACATCATTACGAGAAACGTAGACAGTGGATAATTATTGGAAAACAAAGCATATATTTATTCGTTAGGCAATTTTACTGTTAAATTAATGTAATAAAAAGGCAGTTAAAACTAATCACTATTTAATTCCAGTAGATATATCCAAATGATCAAATTAGACTAAATATTATTAAGCTGAAATGACTGAAATTGTAATCAAATTTGGTACTTTTGTGTTTTATACAAATACTGTTTAAATTCGGCTGACGACAATGTGTAAAGAGTCTGAGTGTATCATGATATTCTTCATCTTTTTTTGAAAGTCTCCATGAAATATTTATCAAATGAAAGAAAAGTAGTCTAATAAATAAAACAATAACACTTGGAACAAAGATTGATTTTATCAGTAAATATCTCAATCAATAAGTAATTTTATAAAGAATGTAACAAATCGACTGCAACAATGAGAATCATTTCACATCAACCACTATTGGCTGTGTAATTTTTAAATGTTCTAAATTCAAATGAGTTTTATTGACCATATTGATGTGTACCACCATACAAAAAAAAAGCATTAACTTACGGTTTGAATAGCAGGTGGTATATTTGACCAAATATTAGCTGTTGTTGAATATGACTTTAAATATGGAGTGTTTTGTGTTGTACATTTAGTCATTTCCATAAATGGACTAGAATTATGTTTGGACATTTGATTATTCATATTGATTTGTGAGACTAAATATTATGAATAAATAGACAGTATTTAGTAAAAATTCAAATAATTTTCGAAATATTTTAATTTAGCTATATAATTCACAATGAAGTACATTGTAAACTGTATAAATAACCTAATTATCATATAATATTTATACTTTGAAAATGTTATAACTTAGTAATGTTATCAGAAGGGGTTTTGTGGATATTTTAGTAATTTCAATAGTTGAAATCATGAGTCAATTGAAGATAGACCACCATGGAAAACCTGGAAGCACTGGACGGCCGTTTCGTCTCAGCATGGGACTCCTCAGCAGCTGGATGTCGTTGGATACCGGCCCAGTGGTATGATGGTTAAGCGCTCACGCGCGAGACTGATAGGTCCCGGGTTTGAATCTTTCAGGGGCGGGATCGTGGATGCGCACTGCTGAGGATGAAACGATGGTCCAATGCTTCCAGGTTTTCCATAGTGGTCTAGTTTCAGTTGACTTATGATTACAGCTATTAAAATTATTAATATTAAACAAAAGCTATTGATAATGAAATTTAACAGTTTTGTTCAAGAATGATTTTTTCCATCTTTTGGTTTAATGAATTTTTAATGAATTTTATTTAAATGTTTATTTATATTTTAATCGCTGAAAAATTCCCATTTTATTCAAACACAATTATATGAACGAAAAATATTCTTTTCAATAAATTCTCGTCAGGTTCTACAATTATCTCATATCTAAATTAATAATCTATAAAATTGATCGTGTTTAGGCAAAGCACATCATTTGAAAATTGTAATATGTGAATCAAGAATTGTTGTTTGTTATATAAAATCAAATCAGATCGTTAATGTTAGGGTTGACTATTATGAAGTGTTAACTTGAATCAGTCCATAAGCAAAATGAAATTGTGTGATAAATGGTCCGAATAAATATAGTCAACATGGGGCGAGAGAGAGAAAACAATGGATGATGTATTTTGCCTTAAATCTGATCAATTTTATGGATTATTAATTTGGATTTATAATTGTAGAACCTGATGAGAAATTATTGAAAAGAATATGCTTCGTTCAAATACTTATATATTTGTGAATAATAATATTTATATACTATAGAAACAGATAGGTGAAAAGATCAAGTACAAAATGAGAATATTTTCTTATATTAATGTTATTTTATTTTGCTACAGTATTCATAAGGAAAAAAATCCATTCTTCAATTGATAACCAATTATTAAGACAAAAAAAATAAAAGTATTTTAATATATTTGCTTATTCGAAAACAACATATACATATCTTTGGATAGTTTTCAATAATGAATAAAGAAAAAATACAGTCATAACATACAAAATTTGAAGTTTAAGATAATCAGCTTATTGTTTTTCGTTTGGAATAATATTCCTAGTTTGCAAATTATTCAAACAATATATGATTATTGAAATGTACTATTTGTTTCCAGTATAGTTAAGTTTTCATTTAATGTTATTAATGAATGTCATTATTTTTTTAAAATTTATAACCGTGATTAGTAATATGTCGTTTCATTAGTTTATTCTTATAGTTTGTAAATATATGCTTCTTTGTATCAGTGCAAATGAAATATATTTTACTTATACAACCTAATGCGTATTTTATACCTATAACTGATTTGGAAGCTTTGTGGTGCCGGCTGATCTGACTCCAATTTGAATGAACGTATGAATAAGCTATGAATATAAATCTTCCATTTAACTCCGTATATTGTCTGGGCTAACCACGTTTGTATGACGGCGGTAATAAGAAGGGTGACGTTGAAGAAATTTATTTCAGGTATACGTTAATCCAGGTAGACGATTGAGGAAATAAAACGGAGAGGAGGGAGTGAAGCGAAACGGATCGCATCGGAGAAGGCATGTGAGCCAAGTCCTACTAACCAAGCGTGAATTGATATTAAAGTCAAACAAAAATAAGTTACGTATATATGGTAAGATAAGAAATTCGAGAACATAAAATCAGTTAAGATCGATAAGCGAATAATTAACAAGGTCAAAATGTGGCTTTCGGAGAGCGAATAAATTGGTCTGTCTGTAAGTTAGAATAACCTATATGTGCTTGACATAGTACCAGGCACTACAAATTAACTGAACAAATTCTATTGACGAAATATGGTATGACACTAAAGTGAAATCAAATTAGTTAATCTTGGAATAATGATTTTACTGAGAATCATAATTATTTAGTGTAGAAATAGTATGTAATATATTTCACATAAAATCAATAAATATAACTGGTAAAACGATGTTTTACTATAAATCTGAGATTCATGCCGGTAAATTTGACCACTATTAATCAATTAGATCAAACAAGAGTAGCTTACACTTCAAATTCATTAAAACTGATTGAGATACAGACGTTATATGGAATTTAAGAATTATATGTGAATTGTAATTAACTTACAGAAATGTAGATCATTGTTACCAAATGGTTGATTATGAAGATTTTGAGACATTAGATTTTTAGGTGTAGAGTTTTCCCAGCTAATCCCTTGGTTTTCAAAATGATCATCGAAAGTTATCCAGTTTTTTTCACCATCCTTTTAATATTAATTTAAACATAAAAGTAAATAAATGAAAACAACTTACTGAAATTTGATTGAAATATGACAAATTACTTAGTTATAGAGTAGTGATGGCACTAAAAATCATAATCATTTACAATAATATTAGAAATGATGATAAAATGTTTTGTTTCCTTGAGGTAGTATAATATCGTGCATTATACTGCATGAAATGTAACGTCATTAATTTGTCATCATATAATATTCAGTATACTCTTACTTAACTATTTATTCTGGTCTAGTCCAATAGTTCAAGTTTGTAAAGTAAACAATTGGTGATTAAATTATTCATTAGGTACTCTAATATGAGCTACACCCAAAGTATAAAAGCTATTGATATCACGCGGTTTCCTAAACCGAAGTGTGTAGCGGAGATTTGAACCTAGGACCTAACGATTAAAAGCTGAGCCTCTTATCCATCGAGCGATTAGGTCACTAAAGCATTCGAATACCTCAGTAATAAAATCTCTGAATGTTTCATCAAGTGGAACATCTTAGAATACTTTCACCAAGAATTCAGGTTCTCTAAGTTAATTAATACCAGATGGCACAAAACTTTGTTTCAAATCTTTTTATTTACTCCGTTTAACCATCTGGTATCTAAATTCATTTAATTTAATAATAAATATAGTTTTATTTACGGGGCTTCTGGATCCACAGAATTATACCTTAACATCAAGTCAGGGAAATGAAGAGAAATCAGTCATTTATAGACTGTTATTGTAATACATGGGATTTAGTCAAATCATACCGTCATTAATGACATTAATGCAGGAAATGTAATCTCATGAATACAATGATAGATTTTATAAGCTGAACACACTCTTTACTAACTTATGAAGCCAAGTTTTTTTATGACATAAAACGGGGGACATATCAATGGATTTAACGGCAACTTATTTAATTATCATTACAGTCGGAAGTATCAAACAGTCTTCAAAGACCACAGTAGTGCCGCAGAAAATTTGAAGAAAACTTGACAACCCAGAAGTAAGCAAGATAGAAAAACATTAGTATGGAGTGTGGTGATTATCTTTTATCTTTTTATGGAATTACGACATTGTATTTGTTTTCTCGTACAGGTATCTAATAGTAGATTCTATATCACCAATATAGAACCAAATCCTGTTGTGCTAGATTAGTGTGGTTTATAACCGAGAGACATATAACTTAACTCAACCTGCAACGACATTCGGTCAATAACCCCTTGGGATTTATCATCCTTACTGAAAGAATTTTTAATTGATTTCAAAGTAGAATTTGGTTACTGTACATAAACAAATGACTCTTTCTGTCACCCAAAAGTAACATAACTTTGTAATACCTTAAAAAATCAGTTTCTTATTCATTATGACCTGTTGTTCTCGTCAAGTTGCGGAAATTTGAGTAACAAGGCGTCATTGCTCATGTGTAATACTCAGGTTAAGCAACCCCAGAAGTTGTGATAAAGAATGCCAAAAGTTCACTTAGAATCCTCCTCAGCTTCCCACTAAACCGAACTCAAACCTTACACTACATCATTATGTATTTCTCGAATAAACTTAGTATTGTCCTCAAAAAATGAAGATATTTAGCTTAATTCAACTTAGCTGGAACGAAATTCCAAATGAAAGTATAACACAAGTCTCGGGTTTAACTAATGGTTAACACATCTGGGACTACTCCAATATAATCGACCATCAATTGGCTAAAAACAGCAGCATCTATTTTCTAATAGTTGGTGAGGACAGTTCTGGCTAACATCTTCAGAGATTCTTTATACTTAAACAATATCCTCTGTGGTCTCAAAAGCATTTGAATACCTATGGAAGCGAAGTAGAACGTTATTGGAGCTTATGAAAATGTTTTTCTTCTCCGATTAGAAGAACAGTAAACTGATACTCCTCATTTCACCACTTTGAGTATTTTTTAAATTAGTAACTATGAAACAGTGTTCCGTGAACTTAGTTAAATAAATTCAGGAATACATCAAAATAGCTAAAGCCTGCTTTAAGTCCTACTAATTTCCAACCTTATATGACCTTCATATTCTTGTAAGAGTAACTACGGATATATAGTTGTATGAAATTGAAGTCGTATCACTATACGCATTTCCAAACGGACAAAAACGTACAGTCCTGAAGGCGTAGAGTATAGTAAAAGGAAACAATCAGAAATATGGGCAAACTGATAAAGAGTAGTTAGCTCTAGGATTTACGGTTTACAAGTTCAACAAGCTGATCTAAGGAAAAAACCCACCCTCCTTGCAGATCATAAAACCCTGTTATCAACATTTTATTCATATTTCTGTTTACTACCTCATTTTACGGGGAACTTACAGCACTGGGTCCTTCCACTCCAAGGATACAACTTCACTATCCATTATCTACAAACAGAGGATCTTGAACGTGCAGATATCTTATTATGGTACATGGGAGAGTAATCATACATACATGAAAGCTACATCGTAGCTGATGTCCCGATAACAGACTATGTAGCTGCACTTTAAGCAAGAGAAAGGACTCGAAAAGTTAATAACCTTCAGGCGGAAAGACGTCTCATGGAAGATTAAATGACGAGTAACTTCTGAGACCTATTAATGAAGTAATATTATCTATACATTCTTGTTGTATAATTATACGGTGACTAGAATGTGTATATTTATATTCATCTTAATATAAGCTTCCCTTTGACCTATATATTATTATTATACGATTTACTGTTCTTAAATTATACTCAGTTTATTAATTACTGTCTCCCACGTTCACAGCCACATTTTGGCTTTATTGTGTAGAAATGTTATTTCCTATTTTGTGGTGCGTTGCGGTCTGTTTGGTTGATATATAAACCCAGTATGTCTGAAACAAATGATTCGCATAGTGGAGGCTGTTATTGGCATTCTGGACTCAACTGGACGGGCTAGGCGAGCAACAAACCAATAGAACTCTAGGCTGATCAAAACGGTTGGACGTCACTGGTTTAGTACAGTACAAGAGCGAATAAATCGTATTTCAATTGGCGAATAAATTACGTGATAAAAAGCGGACCTAAAGACACAACAGAAGCCATATAGTCTCTAGTATTAAGCAACAAACTGCGTCAACTCTCCTGAAGATAACGTTTGCTCTAAGCTATTCCGATTATCATTATTTTGGAGAAAAACATTAAAACCTTCGCCAGTTTTAGTTCAACCGCTGTGGTATCTGTTGTGGATGCAGAGGAATAGACCAATAATTATCATGTTAAGTCCAATGGTGTCCTTGGACTTTAAATGGAATTTCCTATTGGTCGATATCTGTTCACTTGTACAAAATGTTGTTTTCTATTTTTATGGTACGATGTGGTATCCTTGATTGGTATATAAACAAAGTATGTTTGAAATATAATGATTCATATCTCAGAGGTTGTGACTTGTGTTCTGGACTCAACTGGCTGGGCTGGACAGGGAAGCAGGACCAATCAGAACTCTAGGTCGTCCTTACGTGTTTTCCGTGTCACTGTCACCGGATCGATCAATAAACGCCGCTTATCAAAACCTGTAGTCACACCCGTCATAACAGTATCAAACGAAGGAAAACTATTGCTAAAATCTGCGTCTAACAGCCATAGACGGATAACAATATCAAATAATATGTCAACCAACGCCCTTTAAAGCAGTGAGCGATAAAAATTTCAATGCGCCTTTCACCATTATGCAAGGCAGAAGCAGAAAGACTGGGATAATTACATGTGTACTTTGCTGTTCTTACCGATGGCACGCCTACAGATTGTAGACGATGTCGGCTGAAGGTAACCTGAAGTATATCCAGTTGTTTTACCCACCTCCATGAAAACATTGCCATCTCTGCCTAATATCCTTCCTTGTTGTGTATTTCACAAGACCTTAGTTCTCAATTTAATTTTCAAATGATCATTAACTATTGTCGACCTGAAGCACTTGACCAAACTAAGTCCCCGATCTTATCACTCACGGTCAGATGGAGTAACGTAGAGACTTGTTTACACTCTGAACTTGCCCTGCAAAAATTACTAGGTGAGTGTGAAAATATTTTGCTTTATATAGCTGACGACATTCAAAGTGGTATTCCTTAGACGCTAGTCATTGGTGGAAGCAATAATACAGAGTAAACTAAGAACCCGAAATCACGAACTTCTTCCAACAGAACCATAGTTTGTGGCAATAACATATCCTCAAAAGTTTCGAACTAGGACCAAAAGTGTTTGCAAGTGATTATAAAAAAGTATACAGCACAGAGTGAGCAGAATATCTGGCTTGGTAATTATAAAATATCGATAGTGACGATAACATATTATAAATTAGTTTTTCTTGTTCATTAAATCTGATTTCATATTTGACTAGAAGCCAGCTGAGAATCTGTTATGTAATTACAATCATCACGGTTATCGATCAGTAAATTACCATAATTGACTTAAATTAACATTTCCTTCTTCGTTTCAATAAGCTTTGGTTGAAATGAAAGAACTTAACAGATTTTGACACATTCAACTACACTAGATTTCTGAAAGACATAAGATTCAGTCGGTTATAAACAGACCAAAGACTTGTGTAGTATTTTCTAGTTGTAAAAGAGGAATGTCTCTTTTGATATCATTGTTCCGAAATGTTACAGAGTTTTTAGATTAACTTGTGAGTAATCTTCGTGATTAATTATAATTTCATTCATAAGTTATTTTGCAATGTTCAGATTATCAGTCAAGTAAATAATCTAACTGTTCTTTAACTTGGGGACTTGATAACTAAATTATCTTATAAAAGCTTATACAAAACTTTACTGTAGTATCCTAAATGTGTAAAAAGCTACAGTCAGACTGACGTAGGATAACTAAAGTCATCTAAATTGTAATTCATTTTGCTTGAACTTACTTTATTGTACGGAACGTTGTGTCCATTACTTGTATATTGTTTTTGGATATTTTCATTGTCAGCGTTTTTTTGGTATGGTGAGACAGTGTTGTCACTAATATCTATTAGCTGAATCAAATCAGGATTATTCTCCTCAGTAGTGTCGAAAATCCTGGTATCCGTAGAATGTTCTGATTTACTCAATATGTCCTAAGGAATTGTGTGTGACATAATTTAGAGTAAAGCGCGAAAAGTAAATAAAGTGAACAACAATAAATTTTTAATATATTCGAGGAATTTGTCCGATATAATATTTTCGCTTGTGTTGAAATCTTGACCCAAGGAATCCACATTACACAACGCAAAAACGTTCTCGTCAATAAATAGTTCTCACCAGACAAGAATAGCTTTCCGCTTCAAACTTGATTATATACATGTAGTGTTCAGATGACGATGACAGCAAATTCTATTATTACAAAATTAGTGTCTAAAAAGCCTGAAAGATAATGAAATCAAGTCAGGTTATTCAGCTGTGATACGATAGTGCAATGTCCCTTGTTACATTGTTGGATGCATCGTGTTGATTTGTGAAGAAATGGGGTTTGATGCTATGCTTCTTCATCATTTTCATACAAGGTTTATCTGTGTTTTTATTAATTGCCTGTTACCTAGGAATTTAGTACATGGTAAATTGACGAACTACCTGAAAACATGCTTTAACTTGGAGGCTTTGTTATATTAGTTGGTAAATAGACTTTAAGTTTTATTTATTATCCAAAATGTATTGGTCAGTGTGAGGACGTAACCGATTCTCAACATGACCAGTAGTAGTCGTTGTGTTGGTCATCACTGATTAGTGACTATACATAAGTTCACTTTTCTCATAGGCCTAAATTTCAAAACCTGTTAAATGGGGCTCCTTTATATTAATGGTTTCAGTTAACTTTTGTGTTTGCCAAAAATACAGAACAAATATAGGACTTTTCAGTGATGATGTGCTTTTCTATCACAAGCCTTGGGACATTTTAAAATTTGAAGTTTATATTTATAAATTTTACCAACAGTAAATGTCATTATATTAATCAATGATATAAAACGTCAAGAGGAAATTATAAATCAGGATTAAGGTTTAGTTGAAATTATGTTATAACTCTTTGACCTTATGTGTAAACTATCATTTTACAGCTCAAAGAGGCTACTCTAAAAACCAATCATTCAGTTGAAGTGTGACATGGAATAAAAGTGTGACCACATGACAAATACTAGATTGCAACTTTAAATAAACATTGAATTACATGAAAACAATGGAGTGCATTGAATTATACAACCAATAATGAACAGTCAATAAACTTTACTGATGTTTTCTGTTAACTGATAAGATTGTCACTGTTTATTTTGTATTTGAGAACAAATGGTTATTTCTTGAGATCGTATAACTGTTTCATTATTATATAAGCCTTATTTTTGAAGTTAACTGATCAAACTAACTTTTGTAATAGAAAACATTCATCGTACTAAATTAGAGTACTTTATATAGTATAGTTCAGTCAATAGAGAGTAGAGAAATGTGTACTGAAAATATTTAAAACTTACATTAGATCAACGAATTACATATTCAAGTTAATGCATTCAAAATACATTAATCATAGTGTAGACTAATAACATTGTGCTTTATATAGTTAGTTTATTGAGGCTGTGTAACTATTTATATTGGAATAACCTGTTAGATGTAAGTATTGTATGAATGTTTTTGTGTGCTTTATTAGTAATTACTGATTAAGTATTGAACATACTGACATATGGTTTTAAGTTTATTTACTTTAGTTTGTAGGTGACATTTGGTTAACGAAGTTTATAAATTTGGCTTTAAAAATTTTAGTGAATTACTTCATGTTTTAAATTAGTGTTATTGGTTTTACTACCAAAAACTGAAAAAATAATGATTTCTTTTTAATTCAGAAGTTTTTAGTTTGTTGAGAGAATTGAAATAGCTGTCAAATAGCCTAGAACCAAGATATTAAAGTAACCCTAAATTTATTGTTGACTATAGACGTTTATGAATGAAATATGTTTTTAAAAGTATTCAAGGTAAATTAGTAGGTTTATTACAAGTACGACGATAGACTATTTCATTTATAATAACCCTTATCATGTTTGATCGGTTTTGTTATTTTATCTTTGAGGAACTTTTAAGAATATATCGACTGCATATAATAGATGAGGAAGTGAAAATAGATAATCAAAGTTTATTCAAAAAAATTATAAATACTTTTCATTACTTCATTAGGCGGTAGTAACTCAAGATTTGAATAGATGTGCTTTAACACACCAATCAATTTCGGAGTCTAAAAATGGAGGATAAATAAAAGACAAAGAAAAGAAAATAAAAATAATAATGCATTTGTTGGTGGAGTTTTAAACATACATTATCACTTACACTTTATTATCATAGTAACTTTACACAGATACACTTAATATTGAAATTGATGTGTTGCTTTTACTTATAAAATTGATGTACAAGTTTGAGGTACTTATGATATTATCAATTAATCCACTCACTACAGATACTTCACTCTAAATTAATAAAAAACTTATTTGGAATATTTTATTTTTCAGTGGAGAAATAATAATATTCAATTTTAATCATTTGTCATAATAAGCATTCTAACAGAACAAGGGCTCAATATTGTCAATTGTATAAAAAGTTAGAGCTACAATTAGGTTCACCTTTATTACTAATACCATTAGCATACACTGTAAATGTGAATGAATGATAACCACTGAAAGTTAAATAAAGAAATAGCATGGTTGAGAAATAGTTATCACCAAAGATAATGAAAGAAACAATGTGAATCAATCAAAATTACTAAGAACTTTTCTAAAATCTTGCGAAATCTTACTCATTGTTACACAGTATCTACATTCCGATATAAGCATGGAAATATGTTTCTGCTTTGTATGAGTTCTATTCTAGGGTTTCTGTCAGTACATGTTATGAATTTCGAGATGCAGAGGAATGAGTAATTATTTTAACTGATGCTTACTCAAACAAATTACAGATGCATTCCGTCTTGATTATATTGAGTAAATTTTAATCTAGGATGTCTCTCTTTTTTGTAATTTCAATACTGAATGAAGAAGGATTTGACTAAATGGAGGTTTTAATTTATAAATTAAAACAAAATTCTGCATTTCGTGAATCCTGGAAACTATTAACAAGATCAGATTATCCTAAATTAAATGGTAAAGACAATCATTTGTTTTTATTTTCATAAATTGCTAAATGTTTACACTGTTGTGAGACACAACTCACCTTTGAGAAACAAGTGATGTAAAAGAAGATGTGCGACTTTATAAACATTAAGTCATCACTATCACAGAGAAAAAAAACATCTTACAGCAATGACCGTATAGGCCTAAATGTACTAATTTATTTAAAAACATCTTGGTTTTCACACACGTTCAACCTAATAAATTACAATTAATATCAAGACTTTGGTTTATTAACGAACAATAACTATTTATCAGACAATTCCAATGGATTATATGAGATCCGAAACAAGGAAAAGTGACTAAAAACAAGGATCGAATCATTTGTTCCACAGTTTATATAAGTTTAAATTAAAAGCTTTCTATGATATTTCTTATTTTTCTACAGTAAATTACTATTATATAGTTTAAAATGTCGCAAATTTCATTTCCATGTTTCGCAGTTAAAGATTGCATATTCTGATATATCTGAAAATATTTCCTCTGTTTTCTACAACTTCCCTGTAAAAGATTTAAATAAATTTAAGGAATATTTTATTGAATAACTTGTATCATAAAGCTAAATAACCATAATTTTAATCAATGTGAATTAAATAGAATTAAGTGGATAGTAACAATACTCGTCTTCATTCATTTTGTAAATAAATTATTACAGCAAAACGCGATAAATGAGTCATTTAAACTTACATTTTGATAAAGTTTATAACCATAAAACTGATGAACATTATCCCCAATTAATGGTTGTTTAACTATAATTCCACATGATTGTAAATCACAGGGGTCAGTCCAAATAAATGTAATATTTTCAAATTTATGCACATGATGTAATGTCTGAAATAATGTTGAAATGAAAATAAAAACAAACAACAAAGAGAAACACAACAGGACGAGAAAAAAAATGTTGTTGTGTTTAGTTAAAATTCAATTCAAAATATTTATGTTATATACATTCAAGATATTTTAGTTGTTTATTTGTAAATTTAATATGTTAATGTGAACAAATATTCATATATATATATATATATATATATATATATATATATATATATATATATATATATATATATATAAGTATATTTTAAAATGGAAGCCAGTTTAATTGTGATTGTTTATATTTAATAATGAACGTCAATGAAATCTAACTTTAAACGTTCATTAGGAAAACTGTATCAATCGATTGGAGATGACCATAAAATTAAAAGATATCATTATTGTAAATCGTGTAGTAAATGTATCATTAGTGGTTGTATATTATTTATCATAGCTTTTTGTATTTGTTTAAAGTGTCGTAGGTTTAACTGATTTACTAACATACTAAATTAAGTGAGTTAACATTTTTACAGTTATTATTGTCTGGTGAATTTCCAAGTGTCTAGAGTATAAAATCTAAAAAAAAACATTGACTGCTTACTTGGCTCAAAACTGCATTTAATAACTTGATCGTTATTGAATTATAATTGTTAGTTTTAAACAGTTCCAACAGTTACCATAAATTAATCGTCTCATGTATAAGACGTTATTGTTAAGATTATTACTATTTAGGTCTTCTGTCTCTTAATCTTCAGGGAGCCAAACCAAGTAATTAAGGATATAAAGTAGTTGAATTCCTAGGATTTTCTTCCGTTGACAATAATTAATAATCAACGTCATGTATAAAATGACAATTTAAGGTCTAATTTGTTAGTTGTGCTTCAGATTACCTTAACTGAAGACTATGAAGGAAAATCAAACTTTATTTACCAACTGATCACAGACCAGTTAATCGTAAACATCACTGAAATCAACGGTGCCAGCGCTGGTAGTGCAAGTCCTTGCCACCATTTTAATTCAAAGAATTCTGATGATATATAGTAGTCGACAGAATTTAGTTTGTTATTGTTCGAGCAGATGTTGACCTGAAGTACGATTCGATATGTCAAATCAGTTACTTATAGTTTGATTGCAGAAATATTAAAGCAGTCATCCTGTGACCAAACTTACAAATGGGTTAAATATGTGGCTTTTAATCTTGAATAATAAAGCACTAAATATTTTATTGTTCCAACTTTATATCCCCATCTAAATAATAAGTGTTGTTGATTACAGTCTTGCATTATTGAACTCAATAAGGTATTACTTGCATGCACAATTTGTTGAACCATTCGTACAAATTATGTTGAGATTTCAAGAAACATTCTGGGTAAGAGAATAACGTAAGAGTAATGGAATTTGGTTCTTCAAATCCGAAAAGTGATTAAATCACTCAGTGTAGACTCTATCATTCACTCTTACTATCGTTACAATACAAAAGGTTTCGATACGTATCTGGATACTGATATACATTTATACAAATTAAGGCATCCATTCAAAGACATATGTGGCACTAAATATATGTTTTCAAAAGATAATAGTTAATTGCAGCTGGACCTCAAAAACATCTGCCGATTCCCACATTTTATTTTTTACACACAAAACTGTCACTGCATGTATTATAAAATTCAATCCAACTTACCGAATTTCGTGAACCAATAACACTAATTCCACTGGTGTCTACACGTATCCTAATTCTTTTCTTGTGTAATTTTGATGTAAGCAACTGAGTTTTAAGTAATCCTAGTGAGCTTTCGCAAATAAAATCACCACGAGGCTCAGAGACGGAAGTATTTCCGAAGAATTTAGCACGGTATATCTGTGGCACAAAATTCTCTAATGATCCGTGTGTTTTGGATTCTTTGGCCTCCTTTTCAGATGTATCCGAACTGACTTCTACTTCATCTTGAAATATATTATCTTCTTTAGTAACATTTTAATGAGTTACCTATATCACAAGGATTCATTTTTTCATTTTCTTGAGTCATATTATTCTGTTTTGGTATCACCTAAAACTAAGTGTCAAAAAAGTTTTAGTTAACCTCTTTGTTCAGAGCAGCTGGAACCAAGGCGATGCAGGATTGCAAAACTGTTTATTATGTGTATGTATATAAATCCATGGAATGAATGATCACATATGCATATTACAGTAGTGATCTTGTTAGTTTGGTTAAAAGTTACCGATTTAAGGCCTCAAGTCAGGCACTGGAGCTATATCAAAAAACGAACCGACGTCAGATTGCCATCTTTCCTTGAGCAACAGCCTTACCCTTACCCTTACCTTTACTCATATTCAAACACACTGTTGCCCCGACACATTTTTAAGTTTCTTAATTATTTTTTCGTGGTGCTAATTGCAAAATACCTGGTAAATTCCGACACAAAAGAAATATATTCAATTGTCAGCTACAGGCTTTGAAAAATATCGGTCTATTCTAAATACGTCGAACAAATATCAAGCTTTGTTTCAGCTTTTTGCATATCCCTCTAGGTATAAACAATCTTCTGTACCGGACTCAGCCTTCACTTATGGCGATCATGTTAGCTAAATTAAGCGCCTTTCGTTTACAAGAACAACTGAATACACAGTCATCATAGTCAGAGTCATTACTGTAGGGCTTTACCAAACAGACTAGTTGATCCGTCCTAATATATGGAAGACAAATATAAAGATAGCCTTGGACATTTCCAAAGACGAAACAACACTACCACTTCTGTGTTTAAAGTAAAAAATATATATGACATCTTCGTCAGTCGTAGTAAATGTATCAGCACAACTCATCTTGCTCAGATAAAATACAAAACTGAATTTGTTCAAACTACAAACAAACAATGAAAGAGACCAATGTTGTATGTCGATAACAGTACAACAAATTCTTTGGGACGGTAACTCGGTTACCGATGTGAGTAAATGTCAGGAGGCAAGAGAGGAACAAGACCAAGCGGAAGTAATTGCTGGTTACTGTGTGACAGCCTTCATTTGTGTGCTGAGAATTTTAAGAGTATTCGGTCCTCTACCAACATAAACCAAAGACAATTTGAGAGGGATACAGTGGAAAAAAATAACAGGCATCAAACGATCCCCTGGGGAACAAGTACTCAGTGGAGTAACACAAGGCTAGGTTCTAGGTCTCTTACTATACATGCTCTGTGCAAGTAAAATCTTACGTACTGTTACGTTTATAATGCTTCTTAGCAATGATCAAGTCCTAGTCAAATATGGAATTACTGATAAGGTAGTCTAAATTCTGATTGATTTCTGACAAAATGGTTTAGCATGTCAATCTTCAGGGTGGATAGGTTGAAGTAACTAACTATAACAAGGGCGAATTATCGGAATTTTTGAGCGCATATCACAATAATCCATAGATTTTAGAGAGTCTTAACCATATAATTAAACCTATTTGGTATTCAGCTGCTATTAAATACTATAAACTTGCGGATTTTAAGACGGAAATGGACCTAGTTTGGTACAAACATGTTCAAACTTGTGTATATAATTAAAGTGATATCAAACTAAAAACCTTGTTTAGACCAAAAGCCACTGGTTAATACTTCATTGATACCTTTTATATAAAGTAAGAAGGATAATTGCTCATTCACATCCGGAATATAAGGACCTCCCAAAACAATGCGAGTACAAAATGTTTAAACCGTTTTACTTTGTCTTATGGCCAAATGCAAGTAGACTTAGATATGATGCCAGGAACGATGACAGATGATTTGGGGTTTAATATATCATCCGTTTTTCTTCCATCTTGTTCAGTTCAATTCAGAGGATATAAGATATGAGTTCAGAATTAAAGAGCTAACAAAAACACTCTTAGCCCTAATCTTATCTTGAAACTTGAACACGGAAAAAAACTTATGTCTATGCCTTTAACTTTCTTGTTGAAAACAAGATCAGGCTACTAAAAAATGTACCAGAAGAGAATTAACACAGGTTGTCGGCCTTCTGTTTCAACACATAAAACTGGATATGGATCTACAAGTAAACATGGTCAGAAGCAATCAATGCAGAAAGTTAAAGAGATAAAATATAAAGAATTCTTCCTATAAGGCCTAAAACATAGTGAATTTACCACCTTAAATATTACTAATAATTTATATATGTTTAAACGTCTTATCACATGTGAAACATAGGGAAGCTAGGTTCCATTTAACGACACCGTTGTGACAACAAGAATGAAATCATCTGTCTTTGACAGAAAGTTAACATGAATGATAACCGGTAAATACTCGTTTGTTAGGAAAAGATAACCTGAGATAACGATCTAAAAATGTATATCTACACAATTTATAAGATTTCACTTACAAACAAGTTGTAAAATAACAACAAATATGACACTGATTTAGAGTGGAGAAAAAAACAAATCAAAAATTCTAAAAGAAGATCACGTTTTTTGAATATATATTAGCATAATATATTCACAGTTAATTCAATTAACTTTAGGAATTCTCATCAATAAGCATTTTGAATGATAACATTACCCACAGTATTTAGATACACAAGATACAATCTACTTTGCAATCAGCTACAAACTTTGGTGATGAGTGTAATTTGTTGAGGCATTATGTTCACGATAACATACAATACGATTCGTTTCATTCACCAAAAGACCTAAGAAGTAGCATTTTCAAACAACGTGTACAACATCCAATATTTCATGACTAACAACCATCGAACGATGGTCGCTGTGTGCAAAATTTTAACTGACCTTTCATAATTGTCTGCTGAAGATAAGACTGCTTCGTACTTAGCCTTAACATTTCCACGTCTAAAATCGATATCAGGACAATAGAATAACAGATCTAGTACGTTGTAAATCCGTCACAATACAACATCCGCTTGATCTTACTTAGAAGCCATATCAATTCTCACACTGAATCTTGATTGCTTGAGATATTGTTCTTTAAGGGATTTCAAAGGCGCACAAAAGCTTACAAATAGAGTAATATAAATGTTATAAATATAAGGCGGGAATTATAAATACCCATACATGATTGAGTAGTAGTAGTAGATTTCCCTGTTGACCATTACCAAACATACAACGTCTAATCTTATGCTATCTACCTACAAATATTCAAAGTCTGTACATGTTTCATGCACAGAAAAAAGAGAAAAAAAAGTAAGTTCCATGAACAACTGAAGTCACAGTTAGATAGTTCTGAAAACGAGGCTGACGCATCAGTCATCGTTGGAGAGGGTCGGTAGAAGATTGTTGCTCATTCTGAAGTACCTGCTTGGACTTCGACCACGCCCTAATACGGGCACGCATCTGTTTGCGCCTCACTGCACGCAAAAAAGCCGCATTAAAAAGATCCATTAGAACTAAATTGAACAACGAGAAAACAAAAAGTAAGTTCCAGGAACAACTGAAGTCGCAGTTAGATAGTTCTGAGAACGAGGCTGACCCACATGCTGCTCGGAAAGATATGCAATCAGCTGTGGAACCAGTAGTGACATCTATTAGTGATTTAAACCACAGTGTTACAAAGCACCAATGGATTTTTTCAAAGTTTGTTGCACTGATGGATTCTGGTAAGCTCATCTCACCAGGCTCTGAACACGATGAAGAGCGAAAACAAATCAGATCTAGGTTAACCAAAAGTCTAAGAAATGACCGTGAGCAGTGGTGGGCAACGAAAGCAAAAGAGATGGAAAAGGCGGCGGCTATAGGGAACACAAGACAGCTCTACAGGCTAATAAAAAACTGGAATTAATAAGTCGAATGTAAGTGAGACTATCTCGGCAAAAGACGACACTCTCATCTGCTCCCAGTCCAGACGTTTAGAACGATGGGCGGAACATTTCAGAGAACAGTTCAGCTGGCCTTCAGCTTTTCTACAACTATTCTCCATCCCCAGACAGTGTGAGTGGTACATTGAAGTAGGTCCCCCAACTCTTGCTGAAGTTCAAAAGGCTATAGTTAATCTGAAAAGAGGAAGGGCGGCTGGTCCAGATGGATTGGCTCCAGAGGTCTTTAAGGATGATGGTCCAATTTTAGCGATTAGGTTGACTAATATTTTAGCTAAGATCTGGGAGTTGGACGTTATCCCATCTGACTGGTCACATTCACTTATCGTCCCAATATATAAGAAAGGGTCAAAATCATCCTGTGACAACCATAGAGGAATAGTTTAACTTATATAGCATCTAAAATATTAGCCTCGATAATTATCGGTCGCCTAACTAAGACTCGTGAACTGCAAACACGAAAGAATCAAGCTGGCTTCAGACCTGGTCGTGGCTGTATCGACCACACATTCACCATTCGTCAGGTTCTAGAACACAGGCATACTTACCGGCGTCCGACAATGGTGGTCTTTCTTGACTTAAAAGCAGCATTTGACTCTGTAGACCGCGAGATTTTGTGGCAGTGTCTGTCATTGAAAGGTGTACCTCAGAAGTACATAAACCTTGTAAAGGTTCTTTAATCGAACATTACTAGTCGAGTCAGAGCTTATGGCGAACTGTCATCTGCTTTTTCAACCTCAAGTGATGTCCGTCAAGGCTGTCCACTTTCTCCACTTTTATTTAACTTCATCATAGACCTACTGATGGAAATAACATTCTCGTCGACTGAATTCTCGGGTATTGATCTCCATCCAGGAGGTCCACTTATCGACTTGGAATACGCAGATGATATAGTCCTGTTTAGTGAAGATGCTGATAAAATGCAGTCTTTTGGTAGCACTGAGTAACGATGCCAGAATGTTTGGAATGCACCTTCCTCTTCTTCTAAACGCAAGTTGTTGCTTCAGAACTGGTCTGCGTTAACACCTGAACTAAGGAAAGGGAGTGAAGCAGTCGAACGCGTTGACGACTTCACTTATCTTGGAAGTCTGATCAACCGTAATGGGTTGGTGTCAGACAAAATCTCAGCACGGATTTGAAAAGCCCGTTTGGCTTTTGCCAACTTACGTCATATCTGGCGAAGACAAGATATCCGTCTATCAATAAAAGGACGAGTATACTGCGCGGTAGTTCGATCTGCTTTACATTACGGCTGCCAAACGTAGCCATTAAGAGTTGAAGTTAATCGCAAGCTACTAGTATTTGACCACAGATGCCTTAGAAATATTGCTGGCGTCTGCTGGGATCACCGCTTAAGTAATAGTGAGGTTCGATGCAGGGTATTAGGGAATGATGGTAAATCAGTTGATCAGGTTGTGTGTCTTCATCGACTGAGATGGTTGGGCCACGTGTTACGTATGCCTGAACACCGATTACCACGACGTGCAATGCTGAACGGTGTTGGAGATGGGTGGAAGAAAGTTAGGGGTGGCAAAACCAAAACGTGGCATCAGTGCTTGAGGACACTAACTTCTAGTCTGAGCCATGTTGGTAGATGCAGACTACTTGGTTGTGGTCGAATGGTTGGTGATTGTAGGTGACATGGCTGAGGATCGATCACAATGGCGTCGGTGTACACACTCTATCTTCCCTTAAACCAAGAGATTAAAATCGCTTCATATCTTTCTTTCTACGCACTAGATCTTCCTTCTTGTACTATGCCCTTATACGCAATCTCCCATATATATTTCCAATCCTTGCTAACATCAATTGCAAGCTTGCGTGTATTTATGTCGGCAGAGACATATTTGTTTGTGGTTGGTGTTTCACTAAGTCTATTTCTGCAAAGTATACGAACGCTGCTAAGGCTTTTTAACGATGCATCATAGACAATCTTAGTTATTTGTATCGACCGGACATGTCTGACAGCCTCTTTAGTAGATATTGTGACTGGTTTCCAGAACTTCATACTGATAATAACACCATCCACACAATAGGAATAGTGGCTTTCTTCACTGTACAATGTTTCTGGACTGTTCTTAGAAAAACTGTATGATCGACAGTCCTGTTGAGTAAAAAACACCTGACCAAAACCTAGCTTGCAACAATACAGTGATCCAGGAAATATCACAATTGTCTAGTTTTCTTAGGACAAGAAAAGCAACAACTCGAAGGCTAGATAATTTTAACGACTGATTAACTTCACTTCGTCCTTCTTTGAATGTGTCTCAAGGTTTCTGGATCCGACAATTCAACAGAAGTGGCGGTTACATCCCTTATACCTCGAAAGCTTTCAAAACAATCTGCTTTTTATCTGTTTGGAGAGCAGGTACCCAAACGGCTCCTTGTGCGATGGTTTCGAAGAATAAGTTCTACTAAGTGAGCATCTTAGAAATACACCAAGGACAATTAAAGAAGGCAACATGTTCTTGACGAAGCTATTGGGCTCTATGAACCCATCATTCTAATTCGTTTATAAAGCAATAAGAATCATGCAGGATGAATAAAGATGTCTGTAGTGATGCAAGACAGTCGTACTGTCTAGTGTGTTATTAGTGAACATCCGTCCACATGATTACCTCGAAACCCCCACACACACAAGTTACAGCAGATATCTCATAACTAGGTAGCTAGCTAGTTTCGTACTTATGACTTGGGAATTGAAAACAGCGATAATTTCATTGTACTATACGGTCGTTCTTATAGGGATAAATGACTATTTGACGAAATACTAAATAACAAATTTTGTGGTAAGGGAAATTTAAAGAAAGGATAAAAGCATGTCACAGACGATTCGCAAAAACACGAATTTGAATCCGAATAAATGGCAAATAATAAAAGTCAGTTGAAAGCACAGAGATCAAGAATCATGAAAAGTCACAGCCAGACGAGCTTCATGTATTCGTATCCGTATCTCTTGAATCTGTGGAGTTTGTTCCTTCAACGAGCCGTAGTAAAATCATTCGTGCAACTGTACAAATGTAAGAACATAATGTCATTAATGTGATATTAATTAACAGAAATACATATTAGTTTACATCTCCCAAGGTTATATAGGTTTAATAAAAGTGATACTTGACTTCTTGGAAGCAAACAATGATAACATAAAGGTTATTCAAGTACACTGAAACCCACGAAGCATAAAGTATCATCGTAAAGTAGTGAGAAATATTGGGATGATAGTACATCTTATTAGAGCCACCATATATATATAATTCGAGATGATTCAAATATACAGAGTGAAAGTACAACTTATAAGGCTGTTACATATCTACTTCGAGTAGTAGGTTTCATATTGGATAACACTGTACAACAAACTTATTAATACTCAGGATATTTTGATAAATTATTAATTTTACAAAGCTTTAGTTATTGTATTAATATATCATATTTCTAAATTAAATGAGAGTGTGATAAACACTTATTGCTAATAAGATGATCACTCTTTATATAGTCCACTGTAATCATTTTCATTGAATAGTTTCATCTCTCACTGTGAATTCACTGTATTATACAGAAAATGCATTCAAATATTTATAGACTGGAAAATACAAACTCGACTGGCGAAAATATCATTAGATTTTCCAATGTTGAAAAATCCTAATCACGGTCAGTGAAAAATAATGTTGTTGATTATATTAATAAATTTAATTATACGACTAAATTAGTTCTGATTTAGTGATAATCATTTTGTTGTTTAACTGCAAGATGACTGAAGACAGAAATCTCGACAAAATTGTAGGTACATTATTCAAATTTATTTTCTATATACAGTGAAGCAATTAAACCAGCAACACTGAAATTAGGTGTGCAAAAATGAGGTTACGAGATTAGGAACTACAATACTCCGAGACAAAGTAGGACAAATAGTAATTATTTGACTGATTATACAGTGTTGATTGAAGCAGAGATATAGTGAAGAAGGCCATTATGAAGTTGGTTGATAACAGGGGTTATATTTGAAGCTGTTTCAAGAAGTAAGACAGCTCTTCGAATAGTTGTTATACTATACTGGTTCGATATTTACTTCAAATTTAGGATGAGAGATATATCATGATATTCACATTTGAATCAAGAGAAGTCTACGAACACTTTAACAGAGGAGGTTTGTACAGATTGCTGAATTCTATAATATACATAATGAAGTGATCTTAGTTACAATACACTGAGAAACATGAAGTACTGGACAGTTTTTCCGACCCTTATATTAATAATAATTATCTGCTCCCTTGTAAATAATTTCTCGGACACCCAGTGAAAAGACATGATCAGTGGAGTTCAACTACGTTGCGTGTAAAGCAGTTAACTACAGATAGCATAGAAAGATGGTTGTAGAATATCGTGAATTGATTGACGTAAGACGTGCAAACCACAAAATGTTAGTTGAATAGTTTAAAGGTTGAGATGACGCGAGATATGAACGTCCTGCGTTTGATTCTTGGTGGAATCGTAGATATACACTACAACGAAGCCCCATAATAGGAACAGTTGTCCTGTGCTACTGGTTTACGATGGTTGTCTAAAGTCAGTTCGTGATGCCAATTATAAAAGTAAAATATGGTGTATAATGAAATAATAAATGCCTTTAGTTTTGATAGATGTAAAGTAAATAAAAATTGCACTCACCACGACCAGCTCGTAGACGTGCGATACTATCCAAGTGATTATTACCAGAACTTAACATTTTTTTTGTTCTTATTTCATTTGCTTGACATAACTGTATAACATTAATTAGTAAACGAATGAACAAATGATTTAGTGAGTTAAATGTTCGTCAGCTAAAATGAAAATCTACTCTTATTTTGACAGTCAGTAAGAGACTTAAAGTTTTCTATGAGTGTATGCAACGTTAATTTGTAGATTTTCTGTCAAACCAAGTTACAGACTTTGTTTGTAAGTCTGTCATTTTGTTATAAAAGAAAGAGCGACTCTAATTTTCCAAACTAATCATTTAGTTTTTTATGTTTATTTCTCTTCCCTTGGTTGATGAGTCAGGAAATCATCTCACACTTTTCGCTCCTTTTTTGCACTGCCATACAAAATAACTATACGGCCTCCTTCCGAACCCGGATATTTTAGTAACTAATAATATCGAGTAATTAAAATTCGGTTAGATTTTCAACTTTCGTTACGAGTGATTAGAAAGCACAACCTAACATATAACAATAAATAATTAACATCATACAGTAATTTCGTTTTGTGTTTGTCTATCTGTGCAGAACATACTGATAAAGTTAGACAAGAATTTCAACAGACCTGACTTGCTTCTTCTTCATGTTGTTTTACTACTTTCATAAACGCTGATTCACCATGGTCATCACCATCGTCAACATCACTTTGTTCGTATATATTTGGATCAGGTTCAATTATTTTTATGGACCGATCAATTCCGCTGACAGCAATCACTAAATCAGTTAAACGATTGGTAGATTAAAATATTACTGTAAGAGCAACAAAATAAACAAATACAAGTAGGTATTCTGTCTTCAGTTCAATTTCAGTCAGCTGCAACGTAGGACCAGGCACAAATATGCATCGGTCCAAGTTGCTATACCGCATTAGTACGAAAAAATGAACACCGAATTCATAGAAGTAATTAATTCAGTGGTGGTAATATATATATATATTACATGTTTGTTCTGCACGCCTAACGTTATTATTTATATCAAATTGATCATGCCTGTAAACTGGCGTGAATTCTGTAATTATTATTTTTCAGAATATAAAGTTATTATTATTATTATTATTATATAAGGGCATAGTACAAGAAGAAAGATTTAGTGCGTAGAAAGATATGAAGCGATTTTAATCTCTTGGTTTAAGGGAAGACAGAGTGTGTACACCGAAGCCATTGTGATCGATCCTCAGCCATGTCACCTACAGTCAGTCAGTCAGTAACAACGTAGAACATCGTACGTACGTACATCAGTTCGAGTTGCCACACCACATTAGCACAGAGATGCAGTGGTCGATTCAAATCCCGTAGTGGTAGAGGTAATAAGAGTATAAGCAGTAATCGGGAAGATTAGTGTTTGGAGATGTTACTTAAAGAGTACAATACAGTGAAATAAATTTCGGAAGAGAGAAAAAGAGACAAGGAGGAATAAGGAGATCAAAATTTGGGAGAACACAAAGAGTCTATGCACCTGCGCCATTGCAAACGATTTTGAGCCATGTCATTCAGGGACTCTAACCATCGGTTGCTCTCATCTCGCAGTCCCCAACCAGGTAGTCTACACCTACCAACATGACTCAGTTCACTTGTCAGTGACTTCATGGACTTGTGCCATGTTTTGGTCTGGCCGCCCCTAGCTTTCTTCCAACCTATTCCTATACCACTGAACATCGCACGTCGAGGAAGTCGGTCGTTGGGCATACGTAACACGTGTCCCAGCCATCTCAACTGATGAAGATTCACTACTTCACCAATTGATTTGCCATCCTTACCTAGTACCCGTTTCCTAACAACTATGTTACTTACTCGATGGTCCCAGGATATACGAGCAATATTTCGAAGACACATATGATTGAACACTAGTAACCTACGAATATCCTCTACTCTTACCGGCCATGTTTCACTGCCATAAAGTAGGACGGAATGGACTGCTGTGCAGTAAACCCGTCCTTTGGTTGATAGACGGATATTTCGCCTATGCCATAAATGACGCAAGTTGGTAAAAGCTAGTCGAGCCTTCTGTATCCGTGCTGAGATTTCGTCACACACCAAACCACAAGGGCTGATGAGACTTCCAAGATAAGTGAAGCGGTCGACACACTCAACTACTTCACTCCCTATCATTAGTACAGATGTCGATGCAACCCAATCCTGAAGCAACATTTTGCATTTCGAGGGGGAGAATCGCATCCCGAACATACTTGCGTTGTTGTTTAGAGTGGTCAGAAGACTGCATTTTGTCAGCGTCTTCACCAAATAAAACTATGTCATCAGCATATTCTAAGTCAACAAGTGAACCTCCCGGTAGAAGTTCAACCCTTGGAAATCTAAACGAGGAAAGTGTTATCTCTAAAAGTACGTCAATGACAAAGTTGAACAAGAATGGGGAGGGTGGACAGCCCTGACGAACACCACTTGAGGTGATCAATTCTGATGACAGTTCGCCATAAGCTCTCACTCGACCATTTGTGTTCGAGTAGAGAGCCTTTATAAGGTTAATGTACTTCTTTGGTACTCCTTTCATTGACAAACACTGCCATAGAACCTTACGATCAACAGAGCCGAATGCCGCCTTAAGGTCGAGAAATACTACCATTGTGGGGCGTCTGAACGTGTGTCTGTGTTCTAGAACTTGACGTAGTGTGAATATCTGATCTATACAACCACGTCCAGGTCGAAAACCAGCCTGATTTTCTCTAGTCTGCTCTTCACGAGCTTTGGCTAGACGTCGAAGTATTATTGAGGCTAATATTTTAGACACTATATTAGTCAAACTGATTCCTCTGTGATTGTCACAAGAGGACTTTTGTCCTTTCTTATAGACTGGCATAATCAGTGATTGAGACCAGTCAGATGGGATTACGTCCAGTTCCCAAATTCCACCTAAGACCTCAGTTAATTTCACTGCTAATACTAGACCACCATCCTTAAAAATCTCAGGAGTACACCTGTCAGGGCCTGCTGCTCTCCTTAGCTTCAGATTTCCTATGGCTTTTTCAACTTCGTAAAGAGTCGGAGGACTTACATTAACTTGCCATTCAGGTAGACTGGAGATCGTGAGAAACCGAAGTGTGGCTGAAGGCCAGTTGAACTGATCCCTAAAGTGTTCCGCCTATCGATCGATCCAATCTCCTGGATTGAGAATGTATAATATGTCCATCTTTCTCTGAGAGTGTTTCGTTAACAGTCGGTTTCCTCAACAAGTCTTAAAGGTTGTCTGCTGTTACCTATTGCCACTGCCTTTTCCATCTCTCTTGTTTTCGCTACCCACTACTGTTCACGACCATTGCGTAGACTTCTTGTCAGCTTGCGCTTAAGCTGACTCCACTCTTCGTTATGTTCAGAGCCATATGGAATGAGTTTTCGAGCATCTATCAGTGCGGTAGATGCTGCAGAGATCCAGTGTTTCTCCCTAACCTTCTAGTTTACCGTACTTGCAGACATCACTGCTGTTTCCACAGCTTTTCGGGTGTCATTTCACGCTTCCTCGGGGTGGGCATTACTTACATGGCTGCATAACTGTTTTCCTAGTTGTTCCTGAAATATACTCTTAGCTTGACTATCATTAAGTAGGCCCCTAAGAGGTTTCCTTGCAGCGTCTTTCCTACGTCCAGTAAGACGCAAGCAAATACGCGCTCGCACTAGAGCATGATCTGAATCTAAGCATGTGCTCCAGAATGAGCGACAGTCTTCTATCGAGCCCCTCCATCGGTGGCTGAGAGCGATGTGATCTATTTGGGTCCAACGTTGGGACGAATTAGGGGGTCTCCATGTTAACAGATGTTTGTCCTTATGCCTAAAGTTAGTATTTGAAAGAAAGAGGCGGTTATCTGAGCATAGCTGCAATAGACGGTCGCCATTATCTGTTCTTTGAGCCACAACACTATAAGATCCACCCAGGTGTCTTTCCCTATCGCTTAGTTTACCTACTTGATCATTAAAGTCACCGGCCACTATTACTATATCCGAGCGCCTAACTTTTAGGAGGTCGGAGAGCTTTCTGTAAAACTCATCTTTTACATCATCTGAGCTGCAGTCAGTGGGAGAATAGGCAGAGACGACGAAGAGGCAACGACGAGTGTCCCTATCTTTTCGGATCCTTACTGTTCCGTTCAGTCGGACAGCGCACAAACGACTGTCTACTGGGATCCAGGTTTCAGTAGACCTGGGACAGTGTTTTGCGCACTAGAATCGTTGGCTATGGTGACACTTGAGGAGGAAGCCGAAAGAGGAAGTTTAGAGTTGAAAGTCGATGTTGGAGGAATAATAGGAATTGAAGAGGGAGGTTGATTATGAATACAGTGGTCTTGAGTGCTGTTAGAAGTATGAGGGCGGTTATCACTTCCCGGTTGCCCACACCGTAGAAGGGTTCTTCTGGAGTTACCTGAAATGAAATTGCATTACAGGTGGTCATAGTGACCTGGGAGCGTGACCGCAGTGCCCAAAGGACAACTGCTTGAGGTCGGTCACAGACCTTTTTATGAGTAATTTTTGTGTTAGCTCCGTACTTGTTGAGACCTTACCGCCGGAGACGGATATCCATGGGATAAGGCGAGGTGTGCATTTTTAGCGTCAAACTTTTCTAACCCCACCCCTCCTTGTGGGAAGGCAGCATCGCTGTCATGCTGGTTGTCTGAAAGAAACACCTTACTGCCGTCACACCTCTGTACAGTCAGCAGTACGACTTCGCCTTCGGACCTTAGAATTGTTGCTTTTAGTCATACCCCTCTTCAGCCGACCTGTCTGGCATGGTAGGACCTTGAGGGACGGCTGTTCCAGCCAGTATAGCTCGGTTGCTTTATTACGATAGGCAAGCCCGACCACCACGTCATGGTAGCAACAACGGTCGAGTCAGTTCAATCTGTATGAGTGACAAATATTACACGAAAAAAATAGAAAGTAAAAGAGAAAATTTTCTTAACTTATGTCATAACATCAAAGTAAACAAACATTTATTGTTGGGAAAGGCTGTTAAAGTACGCATTTGAAGTAGATTAAAAGACACAAGACTACACGCTAACATAATCTACTAGTGGTAATGTTAACTAACTTGGGAAAAGAGGGTGAGGAATAATTCGATTTACTACAGATGTATCTGCTTTAATTGCAAGTGCAGGCTTTCCTGTATTACGATCCCATGCAATTAAATGACCACATTCAGATCCGGACAGAATAAAATTCCGCCCCCAAAATGTTGACACTTTGACCTGTAAATCAATAAAATATGGTAATTTAATTTAATTATCTAATACATAATGTACAAAGGTAAAATGTCTAACCGTTGGCTCAATCAGTAGAAAAATTAAGTAAATCATGATACATGCAATTAGACTAAACTTCTAAAACAAAACACAGTGGATGCTATTCACAACATTGCTTGTAAGTAGTATGTTGCCGAACGTAGCTTCAAAGTTGTCGAACAGAGTGAACAGTTTTAAGACAGCGGAAGTACGGCATTGACAGAACATATCGGAAGACGCAAATGGACGATTGAAAGCTATGTATATGTATCGCCTTGCAACATCTCGCAATAACTACACATTCGCCTGTTCTTTGTCATGTTTTTCAAAAGCAGATAGCTAAGTTCACACAATAAGAAAAAAGTTGACCTATTAATTATTTTTGAACCAAAAGACTCTTGTCTTCTCGGCGGGACTATATATGGACAAACTTTGAGTGAGGCCAAAGTGACCTTGAGAAAATTCAACTGCTTGGTATATTCGAGAGTGTAAGGCCTATGATCAGAAATTACAAGTTATTGTTTTAGAATTATAGTCACAGTTTTAATTACGAACTGATATCAGTTACAGTACCAAAATACTATTTAACCACATGAATAAATTTTGAGCCGAAATTCAAGACTTGTTATCTTAAATCCTATTGATTCGTCGATAATTTATAGTCCCACTAGCTTCTGCACTTGTCCGATAACGTTGGCTAGCTAAAAATAGGCAAATTAGAGTGCTCCAACACACTATAATTTATATCCCGCTAGTAATTTATAAAACAGTTTGACAGGAACCCAATTTGAAGGGATTAGAAAAATGTAATGAGATCTAGAAATACAGTAATGTGGTAAGAAATAAACAAAAGCTACATCTTACTACAGCAATGTATAAAATTCAACTCTATATGAGCTTATACGCTTTATTCATACGAATTAAAGCACTTAAACAATCGGCTGATATTTTTATGATCTCTCAAACTATAACTTGCAACATCTATCTATTAAAGATTTGGGATAAATGAGAATTTTCAAACAACTTGAATATCATCCTACACAAATATTCTTATAGTACAATATCGTTCAGTGTTAAGGATAATTCAAATATAACGGATGAGATTTGATTTGAGGGAGTGGATTAGCATACAACTAAACGTGAATAGTATTAACAGAATTAATAAATGTACTTAGAAAACAGCATACCACAGTACTACAGCATTCACGACCACGATATTTCATTATTTCGCGACATCTTGGAGAAGAATTTATGATGTCAGAAATATATGCATCTGTTAAGTAATCGATGGGGAGTTTTTGTTCACGCTGAGAGCCTAAAGTAAAGAACAACAATTGACGAAGATGAATATGGACATAACACAAAAAGTAATAATCTACTGTAACAACACAAATGCCAATAATCTACTTTGCAACTCAAATTTAAAATGCAAAAAGGCCAGTGAAGACATAACACCATGATAAAAGTACCTACGCAATCACATCACTCACAAATTGTTGGTATTTAAATACACTAATTCCAAAAACAGTGAGAAACATGTCTGTCATTTCGAACCCTAATAAAAAAAACATCTGAAACAACAATAAATAATAAATTTATGTATTATACCTGTATAAGTTTGACCAGACGTTGATTCGGCAGGACTTGAAGACACTGTTTGAGGTTCAGTCGATGCTTCATCCACAGCGTTTTCATCTGTTCTGGATCGATGTTGGGTGAGCCATCTGAAAGATATAACATCATATTAATTATCTATCGCAAAGCAGAGATCTGTGTGGTAACTTTAAGCATCCATAAAACTATGAAAATACTTTTTTTCGTAATAAAATTAACCTTTTGTGCAGTTTACCCACCATAACTTTACTAATTGACTTTTGTGTTACTGATGCACTACTTAATTGTGGTGGATTTTTATAAGGGTTATGGAAGGAAAATCAGTTGATCCAATCACGGATGTTTTACTGGATAGTGATGAGCAATGACACGTCAGCATTATACTAGACTTTATAGTTCATCTTCAACACATAAATACTAATCGATCTTACGTATTACGTTCAATATGTATCCTCTTGTTTCTTATGCCGTTTCGAGCCCAGCTTCAATGACTATGCTATATATGAAAAACGTTTGATAATAATATTACAAATGTAAGTTTGAGCCGTTAGCAGCTGATGAAAAGCCTTGGAATATGATGAAACCCTATCATTTCGAGTACCTTATCCTTCACACTTTATATAAATTTGTCGATGGATCAGATTATATAAAATTTAAAGTCAGTGTTTGTTATTTTCGGTCCTGCTGTAGACTACTTGCTTACTACCCTGGGTTTGTGGTAGTGAGTTTCTTCGAACCACGTATTCTACTCACTGCACACACAAGGAGTCAAGAGTGTGAGAGTAATTGATTGATCTGAACATAGAGGGTTTATTACAGAAATCAAACACATATTTATATCCTGAGTTATTGGAATTTTTGAGGACAAGTGTTGAGGTACACATAATAATTTCTCCTCAAGGTAATCTGAAATATCCTACGTTACATACGACAACGTCCCTAACACACTTTTGTACGTTGTAAGCAATGATAGTGTTCATAGAAAAAAAAACAATACATTAAATAGTATAATGATTTCGTCATAATTTCTAGAAATAGAGTTCATAGAAGTAGTAGGAAATTAAACTTGTAATTCACCTAACAACGTAACAAGAAACTTACCGATAGAGAGCAACAGTTAAACGTATATTCGGATCTGAAATAAGGCTATCTGAAACAAAAATAAAAACAAAATTTCATCGACGATTAGTGGGCTTTCAGATCAAAAGTTATGTGAAAATTCATAATTTATGAAGACTGTAATATAAAGATGAATAAAATACAGACAGGCATCAAACGAATATACTTATTGAATAACCATGACCAAAAATAAGTTTTAGAATAAACTCTTAATGTCTCCATGTATAGAACATAGATAAGTAGGGACACTTGGAAATTTAAAACGCTAATAATTTGTTCTTTTTTATGTAAACAGTAGGGTAATTTTAATTGCCTTCAGTATCCTCAATCTTTGGTAAGTGAGCTTGTAGAGGCTAATTTCCCCTACATCTGACTCCAATGAATAGTATCCCGTTAACTGAGTATTTAACGCACGCTAAATCTCCTAGTAGGATTATGGATTTACTCGAGATTATTCAATACCTGAATACGAGTTATAGGGACAGTTTATTGTTAAAGACTGGTAAAATCCGCAAGTGTGCAGGAAGCAAGCACATAGGGAAACCGATAGAGTATGTGTTAAAAATCCATATATATTTATGTATTAATTGGTTGTGGATAAATTATTGATTATTTGTGTGTTACAACCATAGGGAGAATGGATTAAAGAATGATGTGCAGACACGCGCTCAATCAGATTCACACAGCAATTTACATAGTGTATTAAGTATCTAAATTACAGTGAGCAAACAAATAATACAGTAGTTGAGTGGGTTTAATACAAGCTAACCTACATGACCTTTCCATTGTATAAACGTGAGTTCAAATTGATTATACACAAGCAATATGTAACTGCTATTACTATCAGGATGCAAATCTGAAACCTCAGATATAAAAGTATAATGAAGCTTGTATACTTCCTATCAGCACAAGTGGCCTTTACTCCCAACTTGATCGGACAAGAACATTTACATACGAGTCGGTAACAGAGGGTTATTTACCGGAGTGTCATATTGAGAAATCCATTTTGGACTCGAATACATGAACAACAATGTGGTGTAGGAAAACGGTTGAAGTGACTTGCAATATTCAAATAGTGAGTACTGAATTCCTCTTTAATTATCATACTTATTGATCCTCGCTACCATTGCATTATAACTATTATAGTTATGTGACAAATGAAGTAAATGAATACAAAGAGAATCGTAACAGTGACGGGATAACACGAAACTGTACCAAATATTTTTGTGATAAATGCTAGTAATACGAGAGTTAATATATAAAACTAAAGGCTTCTTTACCAATATTGAAACCAAATCTATAAATCTCGTGTGAAATCTTACCTTCCGATGAGCGAGGAGATTCTGTTTCCGATGATGGACTGCATGTATCCGTATTCGGTAGCCAATCAGGTCGCTTTAATAAATAACAGCCCAAAAAATTATTGGTCATTTAGTTGGATGAAAATAAAGAGAATTCAACAAAGAAAATTTTCTTTTCAACGAAGTCACTTACTTAAGCCGGACATTCGTATTTAGAGTTGCTTGGTAAATATATATGTTTCCAAAAGGATAGAAGAGATCGCACCGTAAAGTAATCCAAGATTTTAAATATGATCAAATAACTTAGTTACCAGGTAAAAATAATTACTATGATGATATCTTAGACTCTAACAAAATAAATAGTTAAAAGATTGGCGTATGAATGCCAGCTAATAGTTCATGACAGGTTTATTACTATAAAGGGAGATATCAATGTAGCATTAACGCATCTACTGACGCTCTTGAATTCAAGTTGTGCCTTGGAAGAGCACGACTACAGTATCGAACGACTACAGTAACAGACTATTTGAAAACGCGCAAAGCTACAAAACAAAGAGCGTTACGGTAGAAAAGGTTACTGAATAAATAAAAACCAAATGCGACAGGAAGTAGATCGTCTGTAAGTTTGATACATCCGTAAAGTTTATCATTTTATTACTTACAACGATCTGAGATAATTATACAGTTGGAGGGAAACCCAATAAATCCAGGAGTTGTAAAGAGTATTTTTACAGAGTGAGGGAAAGTAAATCAAGTAAAAGTATGTTAATTCACATTGATTTTGAAAGACTGTTGCATAAAAACATACCTGTACTTCAGAGTCGCTAAGCGTTTCTTCTGAACAAAGATCATACAAGAAAATAGGGGCATACATATGACTGACAAGTAAATGTTTCCCACCAAGATTCGACGAAAGTGACTGTTTACGGCCAATAGGTAACCAAAACTGAGTATGATCCTTGTCATAGATAGGTTCAAACTTGACTGACGTTATATGACCTGGTCCATAATCTAATCTGAACGTTTTGGTCGAATTTATCTTCGCGGGTAAACCAAGAGGTCTGGCTACACGAAATGGCATAGGTTGAGGTGGGTCGCCCACAGCTGCGGAGGACACTATAAAATCAGACGTTATTTACTGAAACAATATGGATCCGTAGTTAAACGAATGTTAAGTAGAAAGTTATGTGAACAAGCTTTGATAATCGCAACTACTATTAAAAAATAACGTTCTCTAATAATATCGAATGTCTGCAAGGTTATTACTAGCAAGAAAGCTGGTCAGTATATTGCCTTTTGATTTGCTATAAACGTTTATTAGCCAAACGTTAAGACAGCAATCAAATTGACTGGTTTACCAGGTACATAGGTGTGAACCACACTTCAAGTGTGAGGGGAAATGATACTACCCGGTCGCACAAACGGAAGCAAGGTGGGAAGAGGTTCAAACTTAGGGCGTAGTGGCCGAAAGTTGAACCCGTTGACTAATATATCAACGCTCCGCTGAATTTAGACGCTATATAGTAAGTAACTGAGCATGTATATGCAGACTGAAGATGAAGGATTACGATAATGACTGTGGATTTATTATTGGGTACTAATTGAATAGTGGACTCACAAGTGGAAACGAGCTTTCGAATATCGAAAAGACGTACAAAACCGTCGGCAGTTGCCAGCGCGATTGAACGACATCCATTCAAAGGATGGATATCACCAGCAGTTACTGGAAAATGAAACTTTAACTGATTGACAACAGAAAAATTTGAAACCCATGGTGAGTTTGTGTTGTTGAAACATCCCCGACTACAACTCGGACTCTTGTGCACGGAGGTGATTCTGGTATCCAGAAGAGTGGCTGAATGGTCATGAGATAGTGTTATAAAGCAAGTAGGCATTTCTTGCAAAGTAAGAATCTGAAAACAACACCAAAACGTTTGCTAAACAACCATGATATAGTGTAAGTAAAAAGGTATAAAATCAAACATCTGTAAAGCAAATAGATATTGTTTTAGTCAACTAAACAAGGCAATTTATCGTATGTTTAAAATCCAACTACCTAATCTTGTTTTAAGTTTCGTTGGTGATAACTGATTTTTCATTCACGTTGATAATCTAATTGGCTTTATTGGTACTCTTAATAGAGGTAGTTGATCCATTTTTTGAGTGAACGCTTTAGCAATGTGAGCTAATCGCAATCATAGGTACACAGGACAGAAAGTATCTTCATATTTATTTATTTTATTTATTTGAACACATAAATATTGGTACAAGAGAGCGCCAATATATATGCGCCACACAAAACAATGGGAATTCGAAGAGAAGTAGAAAGAAAAAAAAAAACTAAGGAACGCAAAAGAAAAAGAGAGTAATGACGAAGAGGTACAATCAGAAGAAATCTTTCAGGTAAAGGAGACACAACCACTTTTTATGAAGAAAGTAAAAGAAGGTTACAGCAGGATCGCCACTGGCTTCTATTCTGAGCCATATCTGATAACGTCTCTAGCCACTGTGTTGCACCATCTCTCGGACCCCAGCCAGGGAGTCGTGAAGGACCAACACAAGCCAGTCCTTTGCAGCTTTCTTTCATGCCACGACACCATGTCATGCACTGACCACCTCTCCGCTTCTTCCAACCAGTCCCAGAGTCGGCAAATAATGCACGACGTGGAATTCTCTGGGACGACATTCGGAGAACATGTCCAAGCCACCGAAGTCGGTGTTTCAAGATGGTGACACCAATTGAGTTATCATCTCTGTGCCCGAACACACGATGCCGAACCTCTGCATTACTGACATGGTGTTGCCACTGAATGTCAGCAATCCTTCGGAGACAGCGATGATCAAACACAGAGAGTCGTCTAACGTCCTCAACTCGGAGAGGCCAGGTTTCACAAGCATAGAGCAAAACTGCTCTCACCGACGCATTGTAGATCCGGCCTTTTACAGCCAGACTAACATCACGAAGGCGCCAAAGGTGGCCCAGATTGGCATAAGCCGCTCTGGCTTTCACTATTCGTGCATTGATCTCATCACTCACACCCCCACCAGCACTTATGCAGCTACCCAGATACACGAACTTCTCAACTACGTCTATCTGCTCACCATCCAGGGTGAGTACAGGATTGGGATCCTGCCAGTCTTGTAGAAGTACTTTGCACTTCGAAGGTGCAAAGCACATACCATACCTACGGACATTGATTGCCAACTGATTAAGTGCGGATTGCATGCCTTGGGCATTATCGCACAGTAAGACAATATCGTCCGCATACTCAAGGTCGAGAAGTCTTTCTCCAGGCAACAGATCCACACCACCATTACTTACATTCATCAGAGCTGTTTCCAGAATGTCATCGATGGCAAAGTTGAAGAGGAATGGTGAGATTGGGCAACCCTGCCTAACCCCACTGCTCGAATGGAACAATGGAGAGAGGTGGTTGTATGCCCTCACTCTGCCTGAGGTGTTTTTATACAGGGCTTTTAGGATGTTAATAAACTTCTCAGGCACACCCTTCTTCAATAGACAATCCCAGAGAACAGTCCTATCCAACGAATCGAAGGCAGCCCTGATGTCAAGAAACACTACGATTGTTGGCCTTTGATAAGTATGGCGGTGTTCTAACATTTGGCGGAGGGTGAAGATATGATCAATACATCCTCGACCAGAACGAAACCCAGCCTGCTCCTCGCGAGTCAATCTTTCTCGGGTTTTGAACAACCTACGAAGAATGACGGAAGCCAATAGCTTGGACGCAATCGGAAGTAAACTTATCCCCCGATAGTTGTTACAAGAACGACGTGAACCCTTTTTAAAGATAGGGACAACTATCGACTCATTCCATGACGTTGGTACACTCTCTAGATCCCAAACCTTTGTAAACAACGTCGTCAATTCCTTAGTCAAAAAGTCACCACCATCTTTAAAAAGAGCCGGAGGTAAGTCATCTGGGCCAGGTGATTTGTAACGCTTCAAGAGTTGGAGTTCCTTGTGGACTTCCTCCTCATTTGGTGGATCAGTCGTCACCGGCCATGGAGGGCAGGACAGTCTGACCGATGTTACCGGAGCAGCAGGCCAGTTGAACTGCCCTTCGAAAAATTCTGCCCATCGTCCAAGACGTCGATGGATGTTTGTGATTGGCATCCCATCATCCTCGCAGATTGTTTCACTCACACCAGACTTCTTGCTGCCAGTGGCTCGGATGAGTTGGAAGAGCTTCCGGTAGTTACCAGATGCAGCTGCTGCTTCCAGCTCATTAGCACGCATCGACCACCAGGCTTCTCGGTCCTTACGCAAGCTTTGCCCGATTTCCTTACGTAAAAACCTTCGTTTATGGTCAAACTCACGGTTACCCGGAGTAGACCGACGGGCTTCAATGAGTTGTAAGGAACCAGAAGAAACCCAGTGCTTAAAAGCGGGACGTTTCGCAAACCCACAACTGACTGTTCCCGCCATTTTCATGGCGTCATGCAATTGCAACCAATGCTCATCTATACTTTTCGGTGGAGTGGTAGCCAGCCTAGAGGCTAGCTCGGTTCGATACTTACTTGCAACAGAAGTTGCAACCAGCTTGCTAATATCAATCCGTTGATGGCGTTCACTTCGTTGTCCACTGAAAAGTAAGGCAAGATTGGCGCAGACCAAGGCATGGTCAGAGTCCAGATAGGTACTCCAAAAGGAGCGGCAGTCTTGTACACAACCACGCCAGCGGTAGCTGATCGCGATGTGATCAATCTGAGTCCAGGCTTGAGATGCAGAGGGAGGACGCCAGGTGGCACATCGGCGATGACTGTGCCGAAAGTTAGTGCTAGCCAGAAACAGGTTGTGGTCTGCGCAAAGTTGCAGTAGACGGTCCCCGTTATCTGACCTGCGACCAACGAGTCCCCATCGGCCACCTAAACGACTCTCTTCTGTGCCTAGACGCCCGACCTGAGCATTCAAGTCTCCGGCTAGTACTACAATATCTGTCGAACGCACTTTCTGGAGAAGAACTGATAACTGGTGGTAAAACTCATCCTTGATTGCATCCGGGCTGCAATCTGTCGGGGCATAGGCGGAGATGACGAAAAGACATCGTTTCTCACGCCGATTTCTTCTCACTTTGATGGAACTTTCTAATCTAACAGCACATAACCGACTGTTAATGGGGATCCAATCGACTAGTGCTGCCTCAGCTCTAGCGCTTAGTGCGACACCAACGCCAGCAAAACCAGACGAAGATGCCACAGGGTCTCCGGATAAGCGCACGTAAAACAAGCTTTTCGAAGCGACAGATGGAGATCGAATTTGTAGTACTTCGCCAGAGTCTTGAATACGGGTCTCGGATAGACAACACACGTCGATATTAAGACTTTCCAAAGACATAGCCAGCCCTATCTGTTGTCCGACCTGCATAAATGTGCGAACGTTGAAGGCAGCCAGTTTGAATGATGCACGTGGTTTCAGAAAATCTGCTTCAGTCCTCGTATTCGGTGGTAACATACACTTTTCAACCGGACAGTGACTCGAGAACGTTTAGATACAGTCGGAATTCCACCAAAGACGAGCCGCTGTATAAGTATAAAAGAAGGTGAATAATGTGGAAAATAATAATAATAATGATAATAATAACAATAATGACAATAATAGTAGTAATAATAATATTAGTATTAATAATGACAATAATTGAAGTGATCATAATTTGAATCAATTGATTGTTTTTCAAAGCGACAAAAGTAGTTTCCATAGATATAAACAGTTCATCATTTGTGTGTGGGCTGTGATACTGCCCGGGTGCCCAAACCGAAGCAGGTGGTTATCTTAGGGGGCCACTCCCCGAGCCTTTGACCTAAAGGTCTAACCCACAAGGCAGTGGAGCATCGTAAGGAGATGCAGTCCCATGGTAGCCGGTGACCAACGATTGGTTCATACGCCATTCGTTCCCGCAGGATACTGGAGCCCATGTGCACCATTGGTTTGGAATCCGGTTAAAGCGCCGGACATTCGCTTCTCGTCCTCTCATTTTCGTAAACAACACCCCCGCCACGAGAAGGCAATGAGTAGGACTTCCCTGGCAGAGGCTATATACGCGTGGCCGTGTGAGAGTATTTTGAGAGGGAGAGCGGACTCTCCCCACTCTCGGCCGTACCAGGGCATTCATAACATATAAAATACTGAAACTGGACACTAAGATAAAACAATTACGACAATGACTATAAAATTCTCTTATACAGACGCTTAAAAGATCTACTTGACTAGACATCTTATCAAAATAGCATGCCCTTTATCTACCACTTGATAGATTTTCTCGCTCATATTTTATAATTAAGGTCTAGCAACAACACTAACAAGTGCCACCTGAGCTGGTGTTCGATAACGAAAGCACTCAGTGATGAGAAATACACATATCGACAGGAATAGAATTATCTGATTATTAAAAGGAATTCTCGTTTCCACCTAGACAGAAACTACTATGCTCTTTTACCATTCGAGACAGTAGGTAGTTTTCGAAAAGGAATAATAGTTTCTTCAGGCGTTCCATTTCCAGTAGTGCTTGCGACAGTTAGCACTCCCACTACTCGGCGTGGAACAGCTTGTTTCGAAAACGAGGTTTTCATAGGAGCACTGACTAACGAACAGGGATATAATTATACATAAACATAAAGGCACTTATCGGGATTAATAACAAGTGTAAACGGAAACCAAAAGTAGAATGCAGTGAACACTCATAGACTTAAACTCACGTCATACACGGCAAACGTGTGACAGAAAATGTTCTTGAGACTATCCTTTATACTAGAGTTGGGATTAACATGGGTGACACAACCGCATTTAAAGCCAACAACTATCTACGGTAATTAAAAATTTGACTTGAACTTTACTTCGCTTCCGCAAGAAAAAGGGAGAAACTTCGCCGTAAAAATGTTACTGTACGCAGGCAACTTTAAATTATAGGCGTTTTGACCTTCAGAATCCTGATTGAAAGGAGAAACCGTTATTTTTAAACTAATACAGCTAACGGAATAAACCTGTGAAAAAGCGTTAGCAATAGCGATACATCTGTCATCTGAACCCGACAAAATATACTCCCCGCGATCATCCCAGCAGATAGTATTAACCTGAAATACGAGCTTGGTGAAGACAGTAAACTTACACAACCACTGTGATAGCACAACTCTGACTTGACTTTCAGCGAATGAAAGTAATACAAGTTATCTATTCCTTCATTAAAGATCACAAAGTACATACCTTTCCATATCCATTCTTTGTTCACTGAACCTGCAAACTCATAGTTTATTCGGCCTGAGTACATCAACGTAACGCCCCATCTAAACACCCCTCCAGCTAATGACCTTTAGTGACCTACTTTTATCAAGAGAATGCGATTGGCTTAATTGAAACAATTATTTTTATAACTAGTTGTACCAGTGATTGTTTTACTGTACCTGTTTTTTAAGTGTTTTAAAGACATTCTTCTTTCCGTTGATTGTGACCTTGCACTCACGTTTGCTCAGTGATTCCGCTTGTACTCCTTTGGCACGGTCTCGGTATTCGTTCGATACCACGAGATTGCTAACAAATATATCTCGCTACAACCTCCGATCGCCTTCTGATATCTGGTACGCAACCTTCCTGCAGTGATGTTCATAGTCAACCACGACTTGACGCCACTCTACAACCTCAATGTAGTGCAAGGAGCAAATAGATTTGGAAGCACAGCAGCCTGTGGAGCATACGTTCGATAATGTGATATACGGTCCCTTAACTTATTATTTTTCTTGGAGCACTTCCGGATTTGTCCGTTTGTTCTGAACTATTATGATGAACTCATTTATTTCAGATTTGTGATCGTTCGTAATAACGCATCCAGCCGTACAAGATGGTGCTACACGGCCACGCGTATACAGCCTCTGCCAGGAAAGTCCTACTCACTGCCTCCTTGTGACGGGGGGTGTTGTTTACGAAAATGAGAGGACGAAAAGCGAGTGTCCGGCGCTTTAACCGGATCTCAAACCAATGGTGCACATAGGCTCCAGTATCCTGCGGGAACAAATGGTGTATGGAGCAATTTTTGGTCACCAGCTACCATGGGACTGCATCTCCTTACGATGCTTCACTGCCTTGTGGGTTAGACCTTTAGGTCAAAGGCTCGGGGTGTGGCCCCCTAAGATAACCACCTGCTTCGGTCTGGGCACCCGGGCAGTATCATAGCCCACACTCAAATGATGAACTCTCTATATCTATGGAAACTACTTCTCTCGCTTCGGATAACATTCAAATGATTCAAATTATTATCATTACTATTATTGTTATTATCATTACTATCATTATTATTATTATTATTTACTACGACATTATTCACCCTCTTTTATTCCTACTCTGTCTATACTTATTTTTTCGAATTATACAGCAGCTCGTCTTTGGTGGAAATTTGACTCGATCTAAACGTTCTCGAGTCACTGTCCGGTTGAAAAGTGTATGTTACCACCGAATATGAGTACTGAAGCAGTTTTTCTGAAACCACGTGCACCATTCAAACTGGCTGCCTTCAACGTTCGCACACTTATGCAGGTTGGACAACAGATGGGGCTGACTATGTCTTTAGAAAGTCTATGAATTCTACCACTAGTTAACTGTTCTTCTCAAGAAAGTGAGTTCGACAGATATTGTAGTACAAGCCGGAGACTTGAATGCTCAGGTCGGGCGTCTAGGCACAGAAGAGAGTGGTTTAGGTGGCCGATGGGGACTCGTTGGTCGCAGGTCAGATAACGGAGACCGTCTGCTGGAACATAGTGCAGACTACAACCTGTTTCCGGCTAGCACTAACTATCGGCACAGTCATCGCCGATGTGCCATCTGACGTCCTCCCTCTGCATCTTAAGCCTGGACTCAGATTGATCACATCGCGATCAGCTACCGCTGACGTGGTTGTGTACAAGACTGCCGCTCCTTTTGGAGTACCTATCTGGATTCCGATCATGCCTTGGTCTGAGCCAATCTCACCTTACTTTTCAGTGGCCAACAAAGTGACCGCCATCAACGGATTGATATTAGCAAGCTGGTTGCAACTTCTGTTACAAGTAAGTATCGAACCGAGCTAGTTTCTGGGCTAGCTACCATTCCCCTGAAAGGTATGGGTTGCAATTGTATGACGCCATGAAAATGGCGGGTACAGTCAGTTGTGGGTTCGCAAAACGTTCCGTTTATAAGCACTGGGTTTCTTCAGGCTCCTTACAACTCATTGAAGCCCGCCAGTCTACTCCGGGTGACCGTGAGTTTGACCATAAACGAAGAGTGTTACGTAATGAAATTGGGCAAAGCTTGCGTAAGGACCGAGAAGCCTGGTGGTCGATGCGTGATAATGAGTTGGAAGCAGCAGCTGCATCTGGTAATTACCGGAAGCTCTTCCAACTCATCCGAGCCACTGGCAGCAAGAAGTCTGGTGTGAGCTAAATAATCTGCGAGGATGATGGGATGCCAATCACTAACATCCATCGACGTCTTGGACGATGGGCCGAATTCTTCTAAGGGCAGTTTAACTGGTCTGCTGCTCCGGCAACATCGGTCAGACTGTCCTGCCCTCCATGGCCAGTGACGACTGATCCACCAAATGAGGCGGAAGTCCGCAAGGAACTCCAACTCATGAAGCGTTACAAATCACCTGGCCCAGATGACTTACCTCAGGCTCTTTTTAAAGATGGTGGTGACTTTTTGACTAAGGAATTGACGACGTTGTTTACAAAGGTTTGGGAACTAGAGAGTGTACCAACGTCATGGAATGAGTCGATAGTTGTCCCTATCTTTAAAAAGGGTTCACGTCGTTCCTGTAATATCTATCGTGGGATAAGTCTACTTCCGATTGCGTCCAAACTATTGGCTTCCGTCATACTTCGTAGGTTGCTCAAAACCCGAGAGATTGACTTGCGAGGAGCAGGCTGGTTTTCGTTCCGGTCGAGGATGTGTTGATCATATCTTCACCCTCCGCCAAATGTTAGAACATCGTCATAATTATCAAAGGCCAACAATCGTAGTGTTTCTTGACATCAGGGCTGCCTTCGATTCATTGGATAGGATTGTTCTCTGGGATTGTCTATTGAAGAAGGGTGTGCCTTAGAAGTTTATTAACATCCTAAAGGCCCTATATAGAACCACCTTTGTCCATTGTGTCATTCGAGCAGTGGGGTTAGACAGGGTTGTCCAATCTCACCATTCCTCTTCAATTTTGCCATCGATGGCATTCTGGAAACAGCTCTGATGGATGTAAGTAGTGGCGGTGTGGATCTGATGCCTGGAGAAAGACTTTCTGACCTTGACCATCCTGATGACATTGTCTTCCTGTGTGATGATATCCATGCCATGCAATCCGCACTTAATCAGTTGGCAATCAGTGTCCGTAGGTACGGTATGAGCTTTGCACCTTCGAAGTGCAAAGTACTTCTACAAGACTGGCAGGATTCTAATGTTGTATTCAACCTGGATGGTGAGCAGATAGAAGTAGTTTAGAAGTTCGTGTATCTAGGTAGCTGCATAAGTGTTGGTAGGGGTGTGAGTGATGAGACCAATGCACGTATAGTGAAAGTCCGAGCGGCTTATGCCAATCTGGGTCATCTTTGGCACCTTCGTGATGTTAGTCTGGCTGTAAAAGGTCGGATCTACAACGCGTCGGTGAGAGCAGTTTTGCTCTATGCTTGTGAAACCTGGCCTCTCTGAGTTGAGGACGTTAGAAGACTCTCTGTGTTCGATCATCACTGCCTCCGAAGGATTGCTGACATCCAGTGGCAACGCCATGTTAGTAGTGCAGAGGTTCGGCATCGTGTGTTCGGGCAGAGAGATGATAATGCAATCGATGTCACCATCTTCAAACACCGACTCCGGTGGATTTGACATGTTTTACGAATGTAGTCCCAGAGAATTTCACGTCGTGAATTATTTGTCGACTCTGGGACTGGTTGGAAGAAGCGGAGAGTTGGTCAGTATATGACATGGTGTCGGGGTATGGAAGAAAGCTACAGAGGACTGGCTTCTGTTGGTCCTTCACGACTCCCTGGATGGGGTTTGAGAGATGGTGCAACACAGTGGCTGGAGACGTTATCAAATATGGCTCAGAATAGAAGCCAGTGGCGATCCTGCTGTAACCTTCTTTTACTTAAAAAAAATGGTTGTGTCTCCCTTACCTGAAAGATTTTTTCTGATTGTACCTTTCCGTTCCCCCATTTTTATCATTATTATTATTACACCACCTTACATCATTCTCCTCGTTATTATTCTCTTTTTTCCTTCCCCTTAAATTCTCATTGTTTTTTGTGGCGCATATATATTTGGCACATTCTTGTACCAATATTTCTGTGTTCAAATAAAAAATAAAAAAACTCATTTAATGAGTTGTAATTGGTTTCATTTCAAATTGGTATCCATATTACATCGGATCAATTACATTCATCATCGGCTTGATAGTCTGGCTGCGTGAAATACAATATTTCTAAAACATTCTGTTCCCGACTTTTTACATCACTGTCATTATATTTGTTACTACAACGGGTCAAGGTCGGGTAGAATGTACGGAATTTATACTGGATATATTAGAACGTGATTACTAAACTAATGAATTCAGATGGTTACCTTAAACCATATTTCCGAAAATTGTTTAGCTCTTAATTAACTCATTTTTAACTGTTTTGTTTTACTTCGAATCACCCATAATTGATTATCTTTGTAAAGCCCTTATGTAACAATATTCTTCGAACTCGAACATGTACATCGTCGTTATGTCCTTAAAGCTAATGAGTACCTGCCTTATAGAAAATAAATATAATTGTTTTTCGTATGGTGTTTACAAAGTATCAGTTTATTTTAGAATGTGAAATAAGAAGACAGTCATGTTATCTCTAACATAGTACACTATTCACTTGGTGTTGTTTGCTCACTTCCCATTGTTATTTAGGACTGCAATTATCCGTCTCTTGTTGGCATATGTGCATCCTGTGCGGACTGCCACGATATTGCCTAATGTCACAAGCTTTATAGTACACTATTACTTCCTTAATCGTATTTTAAAATGCCTGAAGTTACCAATCGGTAGTGTACAATTATAAAACGTAGGTGGTCAGTCGGCAAGTAATTGCTTTTGGGTTGTAAAATTTTCTATAGAAAAATAGGACCTATCAGTTTTAAAGTCCAACCTACGTAATTTGAAGATTTTGATGATGTCACTGCAAATCCTTCTGTATAATCAGGGAAATAAATTGAATTTGTTGGCTTATTCTTGAGAGAGTTTACAATTTTTAAAGATATGTGTGATCACAGTTGAATGGTTTTTTTTAGCAGCAAGCAGTGATTTTTGACAGAGATAGTAAAATGCATAAATCACTC